CCACTGTTTTAAATCAATATTGCATTTAGGAATAAACTACATTCCCTCTAATGATAAGTCAGCTTAACTTTCCTAATTTGATAACTTCTGATTTTAGAGTTACTCATCTTTTCTTTCCTTTTCGTACCTTGTTAATTAAGCTTTCGGTGGTAAAGTGCAAATTGTGACAACTGGGCCCTGAAATAGAAAATTATTTCAACTTAGTTGAGTTTTATTGCTTTTGCATCGTTTTAAATTACTTCTAAATATGCTGAATCCCTGAGAGACAATATTCCACCCAAAATGCAAGTGTATATAATATTGGAAGAATTAAACTGTAAAGTCATATTACACAGGGTATCTAACATCAAAGCCTCTAGTGCATTAACTGACTTACTTGACCCTGGTTTAGTGTTTCTTTTGTCTCTGTAGATTAGTCAAACTTTGATACCATTTTTACAGAGTGTTAAAGAGACAGCATTAGAAACTTTGCTTATCCTATCAAGAAGTAGAATTCTGGAAGATTATCATACTGTTTGAAAGATCAGTAATAAAGAGTGGATAATGATGAAAGATCTGAACAAAAAATTAAATGAGCTAAAGCCCACAATTTGATTATTATTTGTATGTGTATAATTCTGAAGACCTCTTTAAGCATGAACTGAAAAACAAACTTTTAGAGCTACTAATTTTGCAGCACTTCAAACAAAAAAGATAACATTTGTAATATTTTAGATTAATTGTGATCACAGACTATAGGATATCACATCATTTAGTTCTGTCATTTATTCATGCAAATTTTCTTGAACACCTTTTATTTTCAGAGAACTGTACTGGATGTATAGTATGTGTGTACTGGTGTGGTTAAAACAAAGAAAGCCTCCTGCCTTCATGGATCTTCTAGGAAATTTCATGTACATTTATTGATTGATTGATTGATTGGCAAGGTCTCGCTCTGTTGCTCAGGCTGGAGTGCATTGGCGCAATCCTGGCCTCCAGTGATTCTCCCACCTAGGTCTACAGGTGCACACCATGAAGCCTGGCTATTTTTAGTTTCTTGCAGAGACAGGGTCTTGCTATTTGCCCAGGCTTGTCTAGAGCTCCTGGGCTCAAGCAATCCTCCTACTTCAGCCTCCCAAAGTGCTGGGGTTACAGGCATGAGCCACCGTGCCTGGCTTATTTATTTAATTAAAAAAAAAAAAAGTTAGGAACCACTCGTTTTAAACAAAATTATAATCTTGGTATTTTCCCATCACTGTGAGTCAACGCTACAGAAATGTAGCTAATCTACATTTTTCAGGAACTGGAATACAACAGAAAAAAAGTAATTGAAGTGGAGAAGGTGTCTCTTATCCATGCTTTTGACTTTCCTTAGTCTGAGTTGACCTGTTTGTGCTGCAGACCAAATTAATAGTACAATTTCACTCCCTTTCTTCATTGTCCCCATTGTTATCCAATTAAATCTTCTATTTTTCAGTCTTTTTATTTCTTATAATATTGATATTCAACATCACCTTGTAGGTCATAACTATAAGATGCCAATTAAAAATATTTCAAGTTGACTTATGACATTACTAAATTATGGGAAATTTAAGGAGTTTTGTTCCTGGATATTTCTATTCTGTTATAACTTGCTACCACCTACAGTTTCTGATGAAAATATTATGAAAACATTTTCTACAGTTGTTGAAGTCATGGAAATACAAACAAACAAACACAAAGTAGATGGGCTTATTTTGTATGATGAACAGATGATAGATTTGGTAGACTCAGCCTCTGATCTGCTCAAGTTCTGCCCCAGAGGTCAATGGAGCTGAGGCAGGTCCTTCAGAAACAATGTAAATTCCTTTCCTGTAACCAGGCTACCCTGGTTTAAAATATCTTTTCATCTCCATTACGAGGATAAACTGATTAGGTCAGTGGCAAAAACTACAGTTACCTTGGCACCAACCTGATATTTTCTGCATCGAGGAGCAAGGGACAATTGTAATTCTCCCTATTTCAATAATTTTTTCTCACTTAAGACAAGTTGTTGAAGAACTAAATACAGTTGTTTTTCTTCGAGACTTTCTACTTGTTTCCCCTGGTGTTAAAAGCTTGACACACTCTTAGACAAAATGAAATAATATTAGCAATGTTATTACAAACTTCAGTTATAACCAAAAGCAAATCATGATGTAAAATACTTCTGTTCATTACCAGTGATTTGATCATGGGTCTGATACATGACCATATTTGACCTTGAAAAAACCTCATAACAAGCTTATTAGGATGTGCACTGATAATTCTTGGTTGCTCTTGGCAAACAGAACGTTTTGCCTAAGGGAAAATTTAAATTCTGGAGCTGCTCTTTTTTTCCTCACCTTACTGTGTAACCTTGAAATAACCTTGAAATAACACAAAGACTAAACTGCAGGTGGTGTTTATTTAAGAGCCTTACGCAGTTTAAGCAAAATCTGGTGTGTCGGAGAACTCTATTTTTGAAAAGGTGCTTTCAAGATGTTATTTTCCTGAGTAAGATGCTTATCAAAGATCTGTCTACAATTTGTTTAGAAAAGCTAATCTGCAGTTCAAAAAAATCTGTTTACATAATTCATCTTAGTATCTGAAAATTTTCTGGTTTAACTTTCAGGGTTTTATTTTATTTTTTTAATTTATAATAAACTTTCCCAATGACAGATTAAATTACATGCCCAGAAGCTGTTCTCAAAGGGCAAAGTACTAGAAAGAAATAATGTTAAAGAATCCTGAAGGGAGAGCTTCCAATTTCAGTTCAACAAACAATAAATTCAACAGAGAGGTTGACTTGATCTCTGTTTATGAAATACAGTATTTTTCTGCGTCTAGATCAGTATATCTTTTTGGCTCAATGCTTTTTTTTTTCAAATGACTTTCATCATCTTCCTGAAAACATTGATTATTAAAATTTAGATGCGATATAAGAAAATGAGTGACCTGTCCAGGGAGTTTATTTTTATACAAGGTAGTCTGAGATCCTGTCTATTTCTTGGACCTTGTAAGGTCCATACCTCATGTGTTGATTTCAGTTACTGAGGAGGTTACTGGGACCTTATAGGCTACGGTGCAAGCTGTTCTGACAGGTCTTTAACTGATCTTCCCACTTTGGGAGCACAAATGGCAAACTGTTGTTTTGTTATGTTTTCTCTCAAGAGTGTGTGGCATGTTGCCATCTTCCATCTTCTGTGAGTTTCCTGATGACTGTCTTTATGTGTTCTATTAGGTCAATAGAAGAACTTCTTCCTGACTCCCTTGCCTCTTTAGTTGATGAAAATGATAGGACAGTTTCGTGAGCGAATAATTTCTTATCATTTTCTTACTGAAAAACTCTCCCACAAAAGGAGTTGGTTAAGCATTAAACGAACGTTCCACATAGAGCTCTGGCAATGGGAGGAACATAAAAGATTGTTGGGTCTAAAAGGAAGAATCAAATGTTGCTCATCAGTTTTAAACAACACCTAAAGAGCAGACGAAAGGGTCCTCTTTCAGTTTTCCTGAAACCGTGTTGTAATGACAAAATGGTTTTGTGTGTCTGTGTGGTTCTGTTTCTGTTTTGTTTTTGACTTCACAGGAAGAGGTTTAAACATGAAGGCAAACCTTATAGATGTTAGCATGGCTACATTTAAAGCAAAGCTGCCTCTTTTTTTTTTTTTTTTTCTTTTCTCTGCTTCCATTTAGGCCTATCACATAATTTAAGAAAACATAAAATTTAACCACAGGAGCGCTAACTATAGTGTGACAAAAAAACCCTGATCAATTTTGTTTTCGCAGCACGATATTATCAAAGATTTAAGAAACAAATTTGCCAGCCTCGGCGAGAACTCTCTGGTAACAGCATAAATGTCTGTGTTGGTTGCTTTTGATTTAAAGGTTTCTTTTTTCATTTGTTTGAGCCCATTTCTTTTCCCCCTCCTTTTAGTTCACTTTATTTTTCATATTCTGTAACTAGCAAGCCTTCATTTTTTAAACCTCTTCCATCTTCCAGTGTCTATTTTCTGTATTTTGGATGGAAAGTTTATGGCAGCAAAGCTGTCATTCTGGCTACCTCTGCTGCAGCTCTTCCTGCTGTTAGGTCATATATGTTTTGGCCGTTGTGTTTATGGACATGATACTAATTGACTGTTTCATGTCCCATTGACTAAGCTTCTCTACCACGCCATTTGATGGACTCACTGTCATAGGGCTCTATGCAACTTTCATTCTGCAACTTATACTGCTTAGTTCCTTCTCAATTCTCCAGTGAACTGGATTGCTCAAATGAATGGTCATACCAGTCTTGAACTTGCTGTGCCTTTATATTTTATTTTTATTTTCTTCTTTATGTTTTCAGTGGTAGCTTAAGTGGAAAAGAATAAACTCCAGCCATTGCTCCAGCAGCACCATGCAGTATCGTTTGTTACCACCAGAGAATACAAAATATAAAGGCACATTGCATCTCTTATTCTTTGGGGGTGACTGGGGAGATCTGTATCATAAATCCACTACTTTGTTGAAGCCTACCTTTTTATTCATATCAGCTTTCAATTTTGCTTAAACTTCAAGACATCTCAGTTAATGTTTTTCTGTGATTCAGTGATACCTTGCAACTCGAGCCATTTGCTGAGCAGTATCAAGTTATGGCCATGGCATGGGAGATTATTAAAAACGTGACAAACCTATGCACAAATGTATAAATCAGAAAGTGCAAGCTTCCTTGACGAAGTACAGTACTTCAAAACTGTGATACAGGCTTTGGATGAATCAAATAATTAAAATTGAGAAAAACAAATCCATGCTGATAAACCAGTACCAAAAGCATATCAAGAAAACTATAAAGGGGGGGAAAAAAAAAAACCAAGAGTTGAATATGTTAATAATATCTGTTTAAGAACATTGTTGGTGTTGAAATGGTCCATAATGTTGTCATAGAGCCCATACATGAAGAGATGACTAAAAATATGGTCTGTAGAAATCTGCTGTGCTTACTGATACCCTCAACATAAACGGTTGGGATTTGTGTTCAGGAAAAAGAAATGGAAAAGCAAAAGCTTCTATACCAGCAAGCCCGGCTCCACGACCGAGGTGCGGCTGAGATGGTGCTGCAGACCATCAGTGCCAGCAAAGGTAAGGTTCCTTGGGTTCCCCTCACAAGTGTCTGTTCTTCAGATTTCCTCGTTGCTCTCAAGGTGCTCCCTCATTTCAATTCCACTGACTCATTTAGTCCCGGGGTTTCTGGTTCATGACTCTATCAGGTGCCTGTTCACAAATACGAGCTCTCATTGTTTACGGAGACCAATGTTAATTTGTTTTTCAGAGTCTTACTATACAGCTTCATTTTCATTCTGTTCTTTAAGTTTTGGAAACTATGTTATAACTAAACCTTAGCAGACTGATCCTGTACAATGGGGGTGGCCGAGCTTTTTCTTTAAGGTCAGAGAGTCAATGTTTTCAGCTTCAAGGACTATGCAACCTGTCACAGCTCTTCAACTGTGCTGTGTTAGCACGAAAGCCGCCAGACACAATAAGTTAACAAACAGGGTGGCTGTGTTCCAGAACAACTTCATTTACACACAGTTTGTTTACACACACAGGTGGCAAGCTGTAATTTTGTTACGTAATTTATGGTATTTTGCCATAGTTTGCTGACCCTTGATACAAATATGGAGGCATTTAAAGTGAGACTTTTTTAACAATGAAGATGCTGTCGTCTATCTCAGTAGCCAGCTGTTTCAAGATGATTTTTTTGTACATTCATAATAGCTTCTTTGTGAAAATATTTTAAATATAATTTGTAATGGAAAGGAAAAGTAATGGTGGTATATTCTGTTATTAGGTACCCTTGTCCTTAAATAGAAGATTATTTATATTTCTAAGACAAATAGAGGTGAACAATGAAAAATAAAATATGATATACTGAATAAAATGTTGTGTTATTATCCGAATAACTTAAAATTGAGAATAGTCTGCTTAATAAACCAGACTACAAACATATTAAAGTAAAAGCGATACAATAAAAATGATGAAAGTTCTTCATATATAATATTGTTGAGGGAAGAGGGAGAGAAATTTTCCTTAAAGAAAGTTTTAAGTAGCTCATACTTATTTTAATGTTTATTAAACACATGAGTAATCTTGAATCTTAATAATTTCAGGTCTCAATATTTCAAGATCAGTTGTCTTCCTATTCTGTTACGTCTGTATCTTCTTAAGATTTCAGTTCTTAGATATTGTAGAGAATTTTTTAAAATGTTGATGCCAAATATGCATTATTATTATTTTATTATTTTTTGGAACATCAGTCAGTCTCCCTCCACCATCATGAAGATTGCTTGCGGGGGAGCATAATAATAATTTTTAAAGTGCAGCATTGGAGGTAGAATAGGTTAATATAGAAGGCAAAATGATACAAGAAACACTACTTTTTTATATTTCTTAGGTGAAACTGGACCAATGGTAGCAGCTACTTTGAAACTTGGAATTGCTATTTTAAATGGTGGGAACTCCACAGTACAGCAGGTAATAGCTTCCAGTCATTCACATAATGTACTTTTCAGACAAATGGACCGTATAGTAAAGAACTATTTGTTGTAAAATGTTTTATTTTCTATGTACAATATGGTTCAATTTTAGTTTATCACGGTACTGAAGAGAAAGCAAAAGAGGGAAAAAGTAATTATGTGATAGTGTTACAAATCCAAACATCAAATGATGTCAAAACATCTGAAAACATCAAATGTGGCCTTTTATCATGTCAAGTGAATTCTGGTGCTGAGATATGAACCACTCTGTCACCATGCATTTACCAAATGGTGGCTATCTGGTTTTGGAACCTGGCAAGGGTAACCAGCTCATTCTGTTCCCAGAATAAGTGATTATATAGCTTTTTAAAAAGGAACAATAAAACAATCTCTCCAAAACATTTATCAAAAAATAATGTCTCTTGCTTATGTTTTACTTAAGAAGACCCTCATTACTTAGTATATATATTCAGAAGTCCTTAGATCCAGAGACAGTAGTGAGAGATCCTGTAATGTATACTTCTTGTCTATGCGGAACTTGTCTGTTTTCTTTGTAACTTCGAGGATGTATTCCACTATCTCCTTTACTGTAAGCCACATTCCTTTGTTTGAAAAGACGAACGATTGTTTCATTTTTTATTTGACCAAAAGTTATCACACCCCCCATAAATGGCTGTATGATTTTGTGTCTGTGTGTATATGTGTGTCTGTACATCTATGTATCATACATACACTATGTGTATATTTGCTATTTGTGCGTGTGTGTGTGTGTATATATATATGCATATGTGCATATACTTTGTGCGTGTGTATCCTTTACATATTTAGTTTATATTGCCTTTGCTATCTGAAAAATATTACTACTAAAATGTTGTCTGCTTAGCTGAGCCCTTTTTAGAACAGTGTTGATAATAGGAATTGTTCTGCTCTTCAAGATTTGGAGAAAAGCAGTATTCTTATTTCCTTAAACCTTTGAGCATGCTTTCTATCATCTTGTATATGCTTTACATTTGAAATTTCTAATACATTTTAACCATGTCAGAAATAGCTATTTCATTGTGCTATGTAACAGTAAGCTAACAAGACAAAGCATTGCTTTAGCATTTTTTTATATTTATGTTTAACCAAAATTTTGACCATAGATCCTGGATGTCATTCTGAGAACAAAGGAGAAAATTTTAATAGCCAAATGATTCAAATTGTTTTTTCAGTTTAAAGACTATGGAAATTGAAACTGAATTTCAGTCGATAGCATTAGCATATGGCAGTCACCACTCTCAGATTGTAATGCTGTTTTGGGTTTTTTGTTTTGTTTGGTTTGGTTTGGTTTTTTGAGCTGTCACCCAGGCTGGAGTGCAGTGGCGCCATCTCTGCTCACTGCAGCCTCCGCCTCCTGGGTTCAAGCAATTCTCCTGCCTCAGCCTCCCGAGTAGCTGGGACTACAGGCACATGCCACCACACCTAGCTGATTTTTGTATTTTTTAGTAGAGACGGGGTTTCACTATGTTGGCCAGGCTGGTCTCAAACTCCTGACCTCATGATTTGCCCACCTTGACCTCCCAAAGTGCTGGGATTACAGGTGTGAGCCACCGTGCCTGGCCTGTAATGAAATCACCTTGGTGTGGAAACCTGTGAATAACATCTATGGGAATTTTCTTCCCAGTTAACTTGCGAGAGAGTATCTGAATCGCCAAATTACTTTAAAAGTGACCAGAAGAGAATTAAGAGTAATATTACCCCCGACAATTTTGGTGCTTGTGGTCATGTGTAGGGCAACTAACCCTCTTATTCCAAGTTTATGTAATTATCTTGCTTTGAGGCGTGTGTTCCTACTTCATGATAAAGATGACATTAGTCATGTGTGTACACAGTGAATATTTTCTGTCTTTAGAATGGAAAGCCTGTTTTGGTTGTTTATTTATTTAACAAACAATGAGATTTTTGTTCAGTGGCCATGTGGTTTCTATAATTCCCATAGAAAATGCTTGACTACCTCAAGGAGAAAAAGGATGTGGGCTTCTTTCAGAGCCTGGCCGGCCTGATGCAGTCATGTAGGTAAGGACTCACTTCCTTCTTGGGGTTCTACTCAGTGGTTGTATTTTTTCGAAGCATTTGTTTCTTACTCTGACGATAATTACACATAGAAGAATAGTTAATGATTAACAACACTTTAAAGTGGGATAATCAGCAGTGTCTTCTTTTCTATCTTTTTTTAGGGGGTTGGTAAGATCATAATTAATAACCTACAGAATGGTAATAATGCCTTAAAATAGCTTTCCTATGGTACTATAATCCCAGAACTTTGGGAGGAAGAGGTAGAGGATCCCTTGAGGCCAGCAATTCAAGACCAGCCTAACAGGGCAAGACTCCATCTCTACAAAAAGACTAAAAAAAAAAAACCTTAGCCAGGCATGGTGGCACACACCTGTACCATAGTCCTAGCTACTCAGGAGGCTGAGGTGGGAAGATTTCCTGAGCCCAGAAGTTTGAGGGTGCAGTGGGCTATGACAGCACCACTACTCCAGCCTGAGAGACAGAGTGAGACCCTGTCTCTAATTAAAAAAAAAAAAAAAAAAAAAAAAGACTTCCCCGTGTTTAAATAGGGATCTTGGAGAATTAGTGTATATTCTGTATACTTGAAAATGAGTTGTGTATGCTTTTTTAGAAAAGGAAATTCTATTTAGTTTTATTTAGGAGCTTGTAGACCATTTCTCATTTTATGACTAAATGATCATTAACTCATTTGTGGTAATCATTTTCCATTTTTTTTCAAGATTTAAAGTCATTCAGACAGCATTTGACTAAGGAATTTGACACACATTTAATGTAACAAGCTATTCCAACTGCAAGAACATAATTATTAGAATTTTATTTCTGCGTGTCTGCTAGCTTTGTAATGTGCTCCCCATGTGGAAACCTATGAATGCTTTATGTTTGACTTTCATATGGATCATTTCAGTGTAGGCCCAGGGGAGACACTAGTCTGCCACTAAGAGAATGTGGCTGGTAAGCAATGAATGGAGACATGTTTTCAGTGTACGTTAACATTTGGTTCATATTCCAAGATATGTGGTGTTTAGATGTTTGCTCTCCTGAACAAAGAAAATGTTCTATTAGTCCTCTAAATGTTTCTTTTTTCCTTGTTATTATAGTGTCCTTGACCTAAATGCATTTGAGCGACAAAACAAAGCTGAAGGTCTTGGGATGGTGACAGAGGAAGGATCAGGTATTAATGACTTACATTAAAAGGATCACCTGTCTCCCTTCCCTCCCTGAAATGAGTCAATTATCAATTACCTTTCAAGCAGAGAGATACGAAGTTATTTTAAAATCGATGAAATGCTTACATGATTTATTTCAAAGTTCGTAGTTGGACACCCGTCACACCCCAACACCAACCTTCCACGCCGGTCATTAACTCCTTGTGTGCCAGCCCCGTTGCCAGCGGCCTTTCCCCTTGTTGGGTTTTCAATAAGGAATAATGGTTGAATGAAGGATCAAGATCCTTTATTAGAGAATTTTCTGGGAAATCATAAACCACATAGATGAATCTTTCAAGAACATTTGACTTTCTTTGGCCACTTAAGCAAAGTCGGGCTCTCAGATTCTTCTATTTCCTTAGGATAGTCATCCTTTGAGCTCCTTCAGTCTACTCTCATTCCTGTTCTCTCCTCTTCCCTTCCAGCACAGTGATCCTCATATCCATACATGTTTGCAAGTCTAGATTGATAAAAGAAATTAAAGAGCAGTTATTGTGCTTAAATAATTCTGTGCACAAAAGCAGTGATTCACGTGATCTTAGAATTTTTCTCTCTGTAAATAGATGCTGCTATAAACTAGAAAGTTTAGCATGCAATGCATTTAAAGCAGAAATAACTTTTGCTGCCCTTTCATTTTAGGAGTATCTATTAAGAAAAAAATCTTCAATATCTTTTGGTTTGATTTGTTTTTATTCTTTTGTGTTTGATTTTTAAACTAGTTTTACTCAGGGCCCGTGTGTTTATCTGTTTTTGTTTGTTTTGTGTGGTTTGGATATGTCTTCTTGTCAATTATTAGTTTTGGAATATTGGGTCTTTTATTGGACTAATCTTATTTCAAAAAATAATTTTTTCTCCCATCTGCCATTTGTAGTCTGTGTTTATTTCTCTGAAATATTTTAGGATTAACTAATTTATCTACGTATTTTTTTGTTCTCACAAATAGGAAAGAGAATATTTCTTATTGTATTTTAAAGTTTATTATTAATACCCATCCTGACATTGCTACTGCTATGTGGCTCCTGTGTTTATTTTATTTTCTGCTTGACATTTGGATGTACAAGTCTGGTCATCAAATATAAGTCATATGGTTACTTACCTGAGTTAGCTACCTTCAAGAAAAATCACTGACACCATTCTATAACTTCTTAGGTTTTCTGGCCTAAGGTTCTGGCCTGAGGTTCAAAAGGACTGACCTTCAAGAAAAATCACCAGAGCCACTCTAAACTTACTTAGGTTTTCTGGGCCCGTCCGGAGAACTTGGAGCCACTGCAGATCCCAGGGCCCATCACCTGCCTACCTCCAGCATCTCTCCAAAGTCCTAAGCAATTTTCAGCTACAAAATCTCTAAAAATGAATGAAGTCTCTGTCTAAAGCCTGACTTCCCTGTCTTGGAATTAGAAATCAATTTCATTTTCCCCTGTAGTTCTTACCTAATGTTCCAGAGGGGGGCTCTGACCACAAATCCATCAGTCATTCTTAGTCACTGTTCATATCAGCTCCCAAAAGGAATAGCAGCCACTTAGGTTTATTTTCCTTAGCCTCCTTTCCTTTGTCAGGCAGATATGGATTGGAATAACATTTTCGAGTCCCAAATCAGAAAGAACTTTGTGAGAGTGACCATTCTGATGGGAGAATTCTTTATCTCTCTCCAAATGAGATTGATTTAACTTGTGCATTCTTTTTCAACACATAAGAAAATAATTACTCAAGCCGATTAACACATTTTGTATTATTTCCTTACAAACAGAAAAACAAAAGCAAAATCTCAACTTTTTTTTCTTTTTCCCCATTTCCTTTTCTTTCGACTACTGTAAATGTACTACCCTCCCTTCCTCAGTCATCACTCATGAGCGTGGTAATTATTAAAAATGAACTGTCTTTTATTTATTTGCTCTTTTATTTGTTAGCTTTGTGTACAGACTTGATAGTGACAATTTTTGTGCATTCTTTTGTGTTGTAGACTGTTTTCATAAGTAGATTATTTAATTTCCATCATGATGCATCCTGTTATTTTTTAAATGCACACATCTAGCTTTCCTCTTTTTCTTTCTTGTTTCTATGAGGATGTGCAGTTATTACGATGTTGTTTCTATGAGGATGTGCAGTTATTACGATGTCAGAGATGAAGGGGCAACAAGCATTTCAATTACGTTTCTGGATTGGTTTTGTTGTCTTACAGTTAAAAACCTTTCCAGTGGGCCCAGCATCTGCAACTGTTGTGTCAATGAATGATCCTAGAATGTGTGCCCTAGTCTCCCTGTGGCGTTTCTGTCTTGAACGTACTGTGGCTTTATGGCTGCACGGATTGGTGCACGGGAAATCGGTGACATATTCAAGGGGGACGTGACAAGCTTGAGTCTCCTCCTCACCAGTGTGCTCTGCCAGTTGCCTTCCAAAGATTGGGAGGTCTACTGAGTTTTTCTCTATTCCTTTGAAAATCTTCCAGATTGCAAATCATGTAACATCAAAACGAATTTTTATTTTTGCGACTGAATTCAAAGAGCAGTAGAAACAACAGCAACTATTTGCTCCTCAAACTAATAGACTAACAAAGATGCCATTAGTAATTCAAAGTAGTTTCTGAAAGACATTTTATGCAATGGAAATAAGGGATCAGATTTTAGATAGTACCTAGGACGCCAACAAGGCTTCCAAGATTAAATTGTGCTTTCTGAATACATGCTATTGCCTTAATCAAGAGACCTATTAGGAGCATATGTAAGGGCCACTCATTAGCGCTATTAATATTATAGCATTTTCCAGATTGTTTTAAGAATTCCTATACAGACTCTTTTGGCATGTTTAAATATATCTGTTTTGAGACCACTCTTTTGTTTAAGATGCTATAAAAGTTTAAAAAAAAAAAAGCCTATACACACTCATAGGAGAAGAAAAATCAATCATCCCCATTGGAAGGGATAGAAAAGGCTGGAAAAGCAGCAGCTGTTAGTGATGTCACTTACTTCAACAGTTGAGGCTCAGAGAGCATGGGCTTAGCACTGAGAAAATAATCTACTGTATCTGAATCTCCTACATCCTTGCCCACTGTTTTTATTAAGCTAAGTCTCTTCCTAATGACGATAATACGACCATAAATTATATAGCCATGGAAAATGTATGAGCTTAAATGTATGATACCCGCAACTCTCCAATGAGGTAGCTATTACCCTGATTTTATAGATAAGGAAACAGAGGAACAGAGAGGTTTCTTGACTTGTCCGAGGTCACACAGCTAAGCAGCAAGGCTGAGACTGAAATGCAGGCATTCTGCCTCCCACTGTTTCATTTACAGATCCCATGAGCCAAGTCACTTCCCTCCCATCTTTTCCTATTCTTTGGGGGCTTACCTCATGTCTACCACTGCCTTTTTTTCCACCCCCCCTTGACTTACTGTTTCTTTGTTCAATTATTTTTGAGATGGAGGTTTGCTCTGTTGCCCAGGCTGCAGTGCAGTGGTGCGGTCTCAGCTCACTGCAACCTCCACCTCCCAGGTTCAAGCGATTCTCCTGCCTCAGCCTCCCAAGTAGCTGGGATTACAGACATGCCACCACAATCAGCTAATTTTTGTATTTTTAGTAGAGATGGGGTTTCACCATCTTGGCCAGGCTGGTTTTGAACTCCTGACCTCAGGTGATCCACCCACCTCAGCCTCCGAAACTGCTGGGATTACAGGCGTGAGCCACCACACCTGGCTGCCCCTTGACTTATTGTTCTTTGTCCCTTTCCGGGACACAAATCTCTTGCCACATTTTGCATTTATTGTTAAGTTTCAAAATTGCTTTTGAACTTTTTATGGTTACAAATGTTCCTGACCTGGTATTGAGATACCATGAGGAACCATGTTTTCTTTGAGGTTTGTATATAAAGATTTCAGTTGAATTATTTATGCTGTTTTTTTCTACTGCCATTACTGTCATGCAAGTTTGACTTGTGTCCCCTTTTTAGACTAAGTTTCTCTCATTTCTACAAAAGCCGGAGCCTCCCAAGTTTTTTTTTTGAAAAGGTTCTTCAGGAAATGTTAATTTGTAATATGCTCAATGTTGTCTGTGCTGTATATTTTATATTTATATGTGTTTTCTTTTAATGATTTAATCAAGTTCAAAAACAAAACCTGTATGAATATTTAAAATGTCATTCCATTCTTGGATTTTTTAATTTGTTTTTTTATCAGAACCATTAACCCCATTACCAAATCATTATGACATTGAAAGTGCAATTTTCCTGCTTTCAAAATTCTTCTTGGAATATAGCAGAGGATATTGAATTTTGTTTTTGATCATCATCAGGTAGTCCTGGACTTCATAAAAGCGAGATGAAGTTTTGAAGGTGATCTGATTTCTTAAAAATAGTTTGATTTTTTAAAATCCTCACTACAACATGAACTACCAATTAACCTTCCCCACCTTTCTATCTGTATCTGATAATTTGTTTCACTGAGGTGCTTACTGATACATTTATAATCATCTAATCAAATTTATGTAAAGTCGAAGCAACACAAATTAATTAAGCAAAAGGATTGAATTGATCTTTAAGTATTGGTTACCCTAACTTTTTGTTACTGTTTTTATTGCTTAGTAATTTATGGGCTACCTTTTCCTCAAGGGTTTCCAAATACTTTCACAAGTGTAGTTTAGTATTCTGTGTACCTTATTCTGCCATTCTTGTGGGTAAATTTTCTCTTCAAGGAAAACTTGTGATGTTGGTTCATGGCACCAAATATTTTCTTAACATCCTTGCACAGTTTTTAAACTTTGAAGCGCTCATTTAAATTAGAGTGACTATTATGTGCTAGATGGTGTCCTAAGCATTGGAAATGATTTAGGAGCTCAGTACTGTGCAGACAGACTTGTAAACAAGTAACTTCAGAACAATGCTTTATGCATATAAAGGAATTTAGGTGGAAGTACCTAGCTGCTGGGATGTGGTGGGAGAAACATCACAGAAGTAACATGTGGTCTGAGTTAGGAATCAAGCTGGTGGATAAGGAAGGCAAAGACATTCCAATGTGAGGGAACCGCATATGCAAAGTTCAAGGTACCAAACATGGCAGAGAATGGTGACTAAGCTGTTGTGAAGGAATGTTCAGACTAGAGGATGGAAAGATAGTACGTGGGAGGCCACAAAGGACCTTCTCTGCCCTGCCAAGGAATCTGCACTTTTTCTGAGGCCATAGAGAACCCTTAAATACCACTTAAGTGACACTGTGTGTGTTGTTAAATGATCCACCTAGAATTGAGTTCCTAACGTTTATTGTTCAACTAATGCTTCTGATAGACTCCACTAACAAACAGTACAGTGTAGATTTCCCATTTCTCAGTCGTGCTACTAAATAGAAATTGACTCTTCCAAAGATAGTGACCAGCATTATTTCCTTCATGGCAGTGGGAGAGCTCTGAGTTATGCCTAATGATAGATTAGAGGGAATTCTTCAGAGTAGACTTTTCATACAGTTAAAGAAATCCATCTGTTTACCAGGGAAGTATGATAATTGGATTCGTGCTTTTGAAAAATTACTGACAGGTAACATTGTGTAAGATAGGTATCAGAGTCTCAAGGCAGGGAAATCAGTAAGGATGTTGATGAATGGAATGGATGAAAAACAGTAAGAATTTCAGTAAGAGTCTTGACAGCCAAGAAACGTAGGCTTCGGCTATAAGAGAAACAACATGCATATCACATTTGAAAGCAAAGGGATTTTTTTTTCCTCTCCAGCTAGTTTAATTTGTTTAACAGAATATACTTTAATTCTGTTATCCTTGGGACAAACCTAATTTATTTCACATAGTGGTCATTTTTGTTGTCTTGGCATCGGAAAGAGGAATGCATTGTATACACTGCTGTCAGATTGTTAACTAAATCTTAATAAATGCACTCAGTGGAATTAATAGAACTGCTGGTCATACAACCTATAGAAATTCTGTAACTTGGAAATTTAGGTCATTTGACCTAAGGCTTCACATTTATTTCTTTTGTGCTTTGTAGACTTCAAAGCACTTTTAATTGTTTGAGCCAATTCAATTCTCCCAACAGTCCTATGAAATGAGGAGTGGAGGAGTTTGTTAATCTCCATATCGACATGATGAAACGAAGGCTCAGAAGAGTTAACTGACTAAAGTCACATATCTAGAAATGGTTTTCCTTTGATTCTGAAATTGATGAAAACAAGTACGAGTTCACAATTTAAATAACATATAGTATGTGTGATGATAATTAGTCAAAGATTTTTTTCGTTACTGATGCTAACTTTACAACATTTAGAAACTATAGCACACTGAATTCAGAAAGGTCATATAATACTGAAATTATCTGTTTATTTCCTGTATCTTCCATTAGACTGTGAACTTCTTCAGGTTCGAGATTATGTTCACCTCACAAGGTGCCTGCCATAGAAGAGACACTTAGTGCAAGTTTATTGAGGTTTACCGGAATCATACTCTTTACCAGCCGATGGCTATAGGACATTGGTTATTTAATTTCTTGGTTGTTCACTGAACAACAAAATGGCATTACATTTAGCTAATTTACAGGATTCTAATAAACCTGAATTGAAGTGAGATAACATATCTAGCACATCATAGTCACTAACCAAATATTAACAGTAGACTTATTTTTTTAATTTACTTTTTAATAGAATTGTAATATAATTGAAGCAGTCATACTTAAGCCACTTAAGCGACAATATTAAAACTTCCCATATGGAATAAAATACCTGACTTTTCACTATTTTAAAATATTTTTAGCATTCTTCAGTTTTGGCAAGATGCAGAATCGATCTTTAAGTCCTCTCCAGATCAACAATCAGCATAATTTCCTCTATGGCAGTGGGGTGCTTTTGAGTCAACTTTATAGAGTATAGGGGATCCTTTAATGTGGCCAGTCCTATGCTTCATGACTCACCTTTTACCTGTGCGTTATTGTAGATATTGACATGACAGGACCTGATAATGAGAGTGTTAGTCTTTTGGAGTCTATTTATCTTAATTCACCAATGATAGGTAGAACAGTGGCCTTTAAAAATGTATTAACTTTATTAGATCTTTAAAATAGGACTTACTGTTTCACTCTTAGCTTGATTAAACACAATCTACCTAGATTATTTCCAGGAAAACATTGTAATTTTGAGAACATTTTAATCCATGAAGATGGTGTTCAGGAGATAGATACACAGTTAATAAATTCAAATCGCTATGTTCGGCAGCTTGGTATGATATTTCCATATTTTTTAGTGTTATTGCCACTGCACCTAATATATTGACCTTTCCACAATTTACAAAAAATTACCACAGATTGTGAAGAGCCAGGGACATAGACAGGGTACATGTTATCTTTATTTTAGACAAGAGAAAACGAAGGTGCAAAGAATGAACTCTGCAGCAGCAGCAATATTGGAATACCTCTCCCTTTATTACAGTATTAAAAATCTTAAGCCTCTTATAAAAATGAAACCAAAGGAATGTCCTTCACAATATGTACCTTGAGCCCTCGGGCAGCAATTACAAATCGTGATTGACCAACGTAAGAGCACTTTCAACTACATGTTACTTCATTCCGTTATTTGTTATTGATCTTAGTTTCCATCTTACAATGGAATTTCTTTTGCACACATCACAAAATAGACTGCTGATCCTGTACCTTCTGCAGACATAAAGCCATCATCCATCTCTGTTATTCTACCACTTATTTGCAGCATGGGCAATGGCAGCATTTTAATCAGATAGGAATGTCTTCATGAAGCAACAGCACCCCAGCTTATACCTGGTATCACCTGCTGGTAAATGAAGGCCTGACTCGTCCCCTCCCTCACCCCTCCCCTCTTCCCATTGTTCTACGATGTGCGGTGTGTCCTTATATAAGTGAAGTTACTTGTACGTGTTTCGGTATACAGTCAAGAAAATACTGTGTGTGTCAACAATAAATAAAACCTTATGTTATAAATCGTTATTGTGCAGAGTATTTTTAGGTACACAGGTAGATTATATTTATTTCACTGTTTTTCTGAATACTTTCTGGTAAGGGTTACTTCTTTCACATTGAATATATGAACACTTAAAGTGTGTACGTGGTTTATTGAATTGTTTTTTGAAAACTAAAACATTACAGATGGGCTCACAGGGAAAGAATCAATAAGCCTATGTAACAAACTCATAATATTTTGATTTAAATATCACTTTAAAGACTCTTCTGATTAAAGTGACTCATGAAAATGGTACTAAGTATCACCAATGAAGAGTTTAGTTCCTTTATTTGCCTAAAACATTCTCCCTTTTGTTTCCTATCCTGTCGTGAATTTAAACACTGAGGAATGGACTTATCAGCCAACTATGGGAGATTCAACACAACAATGTGCCTGTAACACTTAAACTTGCCACAACGTCTGATTTGCATACTTGGTGATTGTAGCGTAGTCACCAAATTTCATATCTTGTGGGCTAACAGGGAAATGAGTACAGTGATTTTATGTACTTTTTTTAATGTTTATATTAGTTTTCAAAATGGTTTTGCTTCCTAACCCTACCATTATATGAAGCCTCTCACTTTGAAAGTCACAGACTGCGGACTGGTAAGTCCATCAGCTCTCTGTCGCTGTGATCATTCATGATTTCACTTAAAGTAAACATACGATCATTGCATCGTTTTCTTTCTCAACCCAAAGTATTTCCATTCTGTAAAAAGTTCTCATTTTTTAAAATACTTTAGTCCATTCATTCACTGGCTATCTTGTCATTTTTGCTTTTACACGAATTTAGATTTTGGAGCAGGTGCTCGTAATGTGGAACTTTTGTGTTTGTTTGTTTGTTTTACTTCCCCATGATGGACGCTTTCTGTTTTGAAAATCAGCTTCATTTGTGTGGTGCTGTTCTGAGTTTCTTTCCTTGTGTTTTTGCTTTCAAAATAACTTGTGATCACGAGACATTTAAATTGAAATATAAGTAAACTGAGCCCTTTAATGAGGTTTTTCTCCTTGCCCCCAAAATACTTGTTAGTGTTGGATGATGCGGAGAAACCTCTGTAACTAGGGGATGCCTTTTTTTTTCACCTTTTCTTTGTTAGTTTTAGCTCTCACAACACGAGCCACCGAAGTCTTTCTTTTGGTTTCATATTTAGAATTAAGGTTGTTTGCCATTTCCTCCTCCTATGGAAGTAATGCTCAAACCAGTCACATCTCTATTTTAAATTTCAGAAATCTTTCCTTTTTTTTTTTAATTCAGTAGACAGCCTGATAACAAAGTTAATTAAAACAAGTTAATCAACAATTTTCTAGCGATTTACAGCTTTCACAAAAATCCATGAAGTATTTTTTTAGTGAAAGAAACTCTTGGCCCTGCTTTTTTGGATACACATAATACTTTCCATTGAATCATTTGGCCACAATCCAGGTACAAAGCAAATTTAACCTGCGTGAGAGACGCAGAGAAAGGTCCCTTCTGTGCACACCTTGCCAAATACAAGAACATAAAGAAAGAAAGAAAGAAGCAAAGTTTAAGCCTTTAGGTCGTTTGTAAAATGTTGCCAATCCCATGCTGCTACTTTTAACAGAGAAGTCTGAGTTTTAAAATTCAAACCTTCTTTTCTTACAAAGAAAAAGAGCGTCTATCTGCCAAGCGCATGATCTTATGAGCTTCAGATAGCAAAGTGGCTATGACCTGTGACTGTTTTTGGTTCAGAACAATGCTAGATCAACATGCAAGTTGTATGGAGGTGGGGACAGAAAGGGAGGGGCAGCCTGGGGTGGTTGGTAATGTCTGATCCCTCTGGACTTCCCGCAGGAGAAAAGGTTCTACAGGACGATGAGTTCACCTGTGACCTCTTCCGATTCCTGCAGCTACTCTGTGAGGGACACAACTCAGGTTTGTGAGTCCCCAAAACTTCTGATGCTACTAAGGCATAAATAATGTTTTCAAGCCAGTAATAACAGGAACCTGTTAGTTCCAATTATGCATCATTCTAGAGACAACAAATTGTTCTAGAACATGTCTCTGCATTGGGCACTGGGACATTTTATACATTGCTTCCCTGCTTTCACAGTCCTTGGATAGCTATTTCACTTGAGTCTTATCAATTATTTTGATGTTAGGGAAGACACATGAAGCTGGGCGCAGTTCCTCACTTGTAATCCCAACACTTTGGGAGGCCGAGGTGGGAGGATTGCTTGAACTTAGGAGTCCAATATCAGCCTAGGAAACATAGCGAGACCCCCATCTCTACAAAAAATTTAAAAAATTATCCAGACATGGTGGTGCGTGCTCATAGTCCCATCTGCGTGGGAGGCTGGGGCAGGAGGATTGCTCAAGGCCAGGAGTTTGAGGCTACAGCGAGCTGTGATTGCCCCACTGCACTGCAGCTTAGGCAACACAGCAAGATCCTGTCTCTCAATAAAAAAAAAAAAAAAGATGATTTATGAAAAATATAAATAGTTATAGAGTAATATAGAGCATTATTTCTTTTGTACCACCTCTCTTTACCTTGAGTGTACACATACTTCATTGTACTACTTAACATAATGTATCTCCATTAGTTGTTTACACATCTAACTCTCTAACAGGCTTGTGCACCCCTGAAGGCAGGAACTCTGTCTTAATTTTATCTTGGCTGACCCCAGCACTTTGCACAGTACTGAGGAGTAAGTGATTAATGAATAAATAATTTCCTTCTTATATCCTCAAGGATAGCAACCTTTTTCAGTCATTCATTTGCCCAGAGCTCTAGAACTAGGAATAAGGGAACTGATATTAGAAACATCTGAGACAAAAATTGAATATTGATCATCTATGGAGCATGCAGATACTCTTTTGGGGTGATCACTTTTTATGGAAAATATAAATTATTTTCATATTAAAACTATTAGATAAAAACACTGCACTAACCCACAATGATTTTGCCGCAGAAAACATTTGCCTTTGGAGTTCTTAGAATAACTCAATTTGAACTTCTGAGCAAGCATTAATAACATTTTTTTTTATCTTGCATAGATTTTCAGAATTATCTGAGAACTCAGACTGGCAATAATACAACTGTCAACATAATCATCTCCACTGTAGACTACCTACTGAGAGTTCAGGTATGTTGCTTTCTATATTAGTAACAAATTAAAAGGGTTGATATGTTGAAACAATACGGCAGAGTTTTAATGTATTTTGGTTTATAACTAGAAAGGAGTTTTTGAGATAGTTTATCTCTGATCACAATCTCTCAGCAATTCTTAGAGCAAAACTGCCACTGTTATCTCCACTCCTGATCCTGCCTCCTACTTTTGCTCATATTTTAGTTCTGTAAGTAGAGATTCTTCCCCTCTGTTTCTTTAGCTTGATGGTATTTTAAAGTCATTTTCATTTTATAAAGCACTTTTATACTCTGCTCCTTCTTCTACAGTTGTTAGACAAATTGGGGAAGAATGTTTGGAACATTCATAGGAATAGGAAAGAAAGGCTTTGTAACTACTACCATATACTGAAATTTCACAGTCTAAGGTCACTTCTTTTCAGATGTCCTAATATTTGCATTAATTTTCATACCACATTGCTTAAAAAATCTCTGATATTTTGATCATATTTGAGAATGTTACTCAAACTGAATTGAAGATGTAGGCCTCTTAAATAATGAGAGCCCTTTACAACTTTTTTCCCCCTCATTTTATTTATAAGCCAAACCAAGCACAGTATTTTAAAAGCTATAAATGCAGACTTTCAGCTTTTTCCTTAATCTTTGAGTGTGTAATATCACAACCTTTTTTTGCTAACTGAAAGCTTAATGTGGTGGGGGAAGGTCCATTTTGAAGTCAGTACACCAAGAAGTGTTGCTGAAAACACATTTGCAATTTTAAAAATTGTCTGAAAACCCAAACGTAGTTCACAGGCTGAACTAAATTGCATTATTTACTTATCCAACCAACATTTCTTTAAAATGTACGTTATTGTTAAATACATCTGGTTTACAGAGATTGATCTTATTTAGATAATTGTTTATAATGATTAGTATTTACAAGCAATCCAGCCAGTTTTCTCAGGGACAGGTGCAAAAGCCATGGATATCAGCGAGTTCTCACTGATGAAATGTTATTGGCTTTGTTGGAGAAAAAGGAGGTCAGATGTCAGTACCCCAAAAAAGATTATTCCATGATTCATCTATTTTCTCTGCTCACATAGTAAACATCTAACTTTGCTCATGGATAAATATGCTCCAGTCTTAATGAATTCTTATGTTTATGAAGTTCAGGGTTACCAGACAGTAATTTTCAAAGCTAAGTTTTCTTCTGGTCTTCTCTTCAGTTGTTAGTTATATCTAAGAAGGAGGTTCCCATATTGTATGTTTAGGAAAATCATTGAAGAATGATATTTAATTCACAGATGTTTTTGTTTGCTACCATATCTATTATTTAAAATACTTCTCAAGCATAGAGTCCCAGACTGGTTAGTCAATGGTAACTTTAGAATGTGACTGAATAATAAACAATATCATCTCTATTTCCCAGGAATCAATTAGTGACTTTTACTGGTATTACTCTGGGAAAGATGTTATTGATGAACAAGGACAACGGAATTTCTCCAAAGCTATTCAAGTGGCAAAGCAAGTCTTTAACACTCTTACAGAGTATATTCAGGTAAACATTTAAACATAGCTGCTATCTGTAGCACTGAATTCCTCAGAAAAATGCAGTATGTCTAGAGTAGTTTCCATATCTCTTATTGACCCCTTTCCGAGTTTCTTTGCAAATTGCTACAATTAAAATATTAGGTTGAGATGTGAATTTATATGGAATGAAATTGCTTCACCATTTGGCAGGTTGAGATATGGTTAACTCCTTAGAGGCATGGACTGTGATGTTAGCTCTATTGCACCTCCAGGGCCTAGTATATATATTAAGCACTTAGTAAATATTGAGGAAGGAAGGGAGAGCAGGCACAACATTAAGCCATTCTTTCTAGTATTCCACTAAAAGTGGGAAGAAGTTTCATAGAAACTTAAGAAAGAGAAGAGCATTTGAAAACATCGCATATGTATATTATAGATAAAATTCCAAATACCATATAGAATATTCTTTTCTGTTTTACATCGATTTGTTTTATGTTCTCCTTGAACTAAGCTTCTAGCCTTAACTTCAGATTTTTTTTTAAGATTTGATAAAATTCTGGGTTTTTCTTCAATCAGCAAAACTTTGCTGATGACCAGTCATCTTTCCTTTCTGTCTTGTCTCAGTGGCCCATATTACCCTGAATCATTCACTATGTTTGACGTGTCCCATGCTAAGGATAAAACAGGAGGGAGAAACTTATAATTGGCTTTGTGAGACTAAACATAAGCTTGTGGGGAGAAGAAAGGTTAAGTTAAAAATAAATTGTATCCCAGGAGCCTAACAGTTACAGCTGTTTCAGTAAATAAATACTCATGGCCAAGTACAGCCAACCAAGAGTAAGTGCTGTAGAGGTAGGAAGACGTCCTCTAGGCTCACTCTCCTCTGCATTCGGTCCCTTGGAAGCATGGCACTTTCTGTATTATTTTTTGCCTTGTTGGGGAAGAGGAACCTTATTTCAGCACTTCCAGATGGAAAAGTCGCAGTTGATAATTCTAATAACATTTCCTTTAAAATCAAATAAAAGTGAAAGCTTCAGTCAGTTTTGGTCTACTCATAGTCCCATTTCCTTACCTCTCCTGGCTTTCATTATTGCTTTAGTATTCGCATTCATGCCTAGAATGATACCAGTACAACAACATTCGTGTGTCACGTCCTGAATAAATAACAGGATTGACTGATGGCATTAGCAAGCCACTGGATTTTGCAGAAATGGGAATCAGGATGATTTCTATAATATATTCCAAATGAAACATAACCGCCATTTCAGCTAAGAGTGGGCATTTCTTGGTTCCTAAAATAATTGAGATTCCTGAATTTATCGAAAGCTAGAAGCATCCATTGAGCTCTTACTATGTGCAAAACTCTTTATTAGGTGTTGTCATAGAACACGGATTTCTACGTGAATGTTCAAAGGATATTGGATAAAGTCACATGGCTTATCATGCTTGGTTCAATAAGAACCAAAAAAAAAAAAAAACAGAAGTAACAAGTAACTTCTCTTGTTACTTTTTTATATGACATATTTTAAAATAACAATCATATGTGAAATATGTATTTTGGAATAATTTTAGGTATTCAGAAAAGTTGCAAAGATAGTACAGAGGGTTTCTGTATATGATTCACCCAGCTTTCCCTAGTGCTGACATTTTATATACTCATGGCACTTTTGTCAAAACTAAGAAATTAACATTGGCACATCCTGTTAACTAAATTACTGCTTTCTTTTGATTTTATCAGTTTTTCCATTCATGTTCTTTGTTTTTTAAAATTCTGGGATACAATCCAAGTAACCACATTACATTTAGTGAAATATGGTTTAGAGAAGCTTGCCTTAGTGGCATATCTGCTGATAAATATTGATACCATGAAGATAAGCTTATCGTTAGCCTCGTGCTTCTTCTGGACTGCCTTTTAGATTACAGCATTGCATATTGCTTTATTATTCAAACTTCTAACTACAGCAAGTTATATAAGGGGGAGATCCAACACCATTGAAACAAATGGAATTACCTATAAGATTGTAATCCCAGTTTAATAAAAGGGGAAGAATTGTTTGAGTAAGAGGACGTTGTATTGTCGAGGTTCCTAGAGTAAGACCATGAGGTAGTTGTTGAGAAGAGGGAAAGCTTGATCTGTCCTTGGCACAGGTCCTTCTGGTAATTAGCAAAGGTTTTCCATGTTGCAGGCACATACATCACGAGAAAAAGAATGCAAGGCAGCAGGCTAGGGAGTTTACAGCTCCCGGAAGCTGATGACCTAAGGTTGAGCAAGCCCTAGAAAGGACATTCTGTGTGTTTCGGGTTTTAGAAGAAGAAATGGGTACTTTGGTTCTGGGCTTGCGACTCTGTCACGTGAGGGTTGGCCAGACAACTTTTGGTCACCTAGGGGTTGCACGAGAGCATAACCCCTTGCAATACTTCAACTTTTGATTTAAACCTTACCTATCACAGGAAGAAAATTATTTCTGACTTGAAGAAAAAACAAGTTTATATTCCTAAAAATGGCTTTCTAGTGTTCACCTAATAGCCTCTTGCACTTTTCGTCCTCCCTCATTTATATGCCATTGGAATACCAGACTGACACTGAACATCAACCACAGGAAAATCCTAAAGATCTATTGCTTTCAAACCAGAGCTGTGATAGCCATTTTGGACTAATTACAACCAGGGATGAAGGAAACTATAAAACTACTATATCTGGTACATTAAATGAGCTGGATTTAATGACCTCCAGATTAAAATAACCTGATTCCTTCTCACCACTGTCCCTTCAGACTTGCTCTGTTGACCATTTCTTTACCACTAGAAGGAATCTTGTGCACTGACCACTTTCAGATAAATAAAACCATGTCAGTCACTTTGTCACAAAAATAGTCTCATTTCAGTAAAGCTTCCCCTCATTCTTGGGCCTCATTTTCAGCTGGAAAACGTGGAGTGAGGGTGTAGGCAAGAACTCCCATCTGGATATTGTTCATTCTGGAGGGAGTCCAATCTGCGCTTTTTTTACTCTCTCCCCTCAAGGTTCTTCTCTCTCTTTCCCTTTCCCCTCCTGGTTAACCCCAGGCTTCCTCTGGGTTGGAGCTGTGGGAGAGAGGAGGTAAAAGGAAGGAAAGGTCTCCACTGGGCACATGTAATCCCAGAGTGCACCATGGAGCTGGCCCTCTGCTGTGATGTGTTGTATTTTTTCATCTAACGTGCAAGCCTGGCCCTCTTAGTCCTCCAGTGCCTGGAAATGACTCTTCTCCCCCGAGACGGGCGGATCACGAGGTCAGGAGATCGAGACCATCCTGGCTAACACGGTGAAACCCCGTCTCTACTAAAAATACAAAAAACTAGCCGGGCGAGGTGGCGGGCGCCTGTAGTCCCAGCTACTCCGGAGGCTGAGGCAGGAGAATGGCGCAAACCCGGGAGGCGGAGCTTGCAGTGAGCTGAGATCCGGCCACTGCACTCCAGCCCGGGCTACAGAGCAAGACTCCGTCTCAAAAAAATAAAAATAAAAATAAAAAAATAAAAAATAAAGTTATTCCGTCAGACCTCATGCATCTGGTGGCTCCCATCCACCTTGGAATTCTGTTACCATTTCAGACTGATTTCAGATGGGGCAGAACGGCCCCTTCCTGAGTAGTCGATATAAGAAACACACATCTTTTTCGTCACATGCTGTCTGTCATGCTTTCTAATACCAGACCTTATGCTTCCCAACTTCAGAAGACAGAAACTGAGCTCACATGATGGCTCTCCTGGAGCCTCTTCTCTCACTTGCTGTAAGGGGATGCAGAAGTAATGAAATGGAGAGGCTCAGCACATGGAGAACCCCCTCCAAAGTCTCCCCCTTTTCAACTCCAACCCCTTTATATCCTTAGAGTGGAAAGATCTATTTTTAGTCACCCCTTTTGCAGATAGTCTACTGCTTTTGTAATACGTGGGTACATGTCATTCTCATAATCATATGAGAACACATAGTCAATATCTCAGCTGTAGGGCCTCAAGAGATACTGAGACAGGAAAAAGTTCTATTTCAGCATCTTGGATATGGCCATCTCTTCCAATCACTTGTTTCTAGCATAAGATCCGAAATGTTTTTATGTGGTCTGCAATTTAAAGTTATTATGAGTTGTTATTTGCCTAAAGGAATGAAGGAATTTGAAGTTAACAGTATTGTATGTACTTTTTTCCTTTCTAAGTAAAATCCCTGTTATTTTCATGACTGATGTAGATGGGTTTACAAAACTGAATGATGGTAGAAGTTTTTCACTGGAAAGTGAAAATAGAAATCGGCTCCAAGAAAACAGTCTGGCTGCTACAGCAGATCCACTCAAGTATTGGTACTTCAGACGTGTCAGCTAAGAGAACAAAGTTAGGCTTGTTAAAAGATAAACTTAGGCACAATAACATCTTACGAAGTTTATCTGAGCATTCAACTATTTATGAATTGAGCAACACCAGAACACTAATGGTTCAGCCCTTCACCAAGGGTGGGGGCACTTTTATAAGGTGCTCCTGGAAGCAAGACAAGCAAAGAGATTTGATTGGTAAAAGTGGAAAGTTCCTAGTTAGAGGTTAGTTGGCAGTTTCTGACTGGTGAACTCTAGTTAGAAGTTAGTTGGCAGTTTGATTGGTTAAGCTTAAATTTACACTGAGTTGGGATTTGGTTTTCTTAGGGAGGAACCCAAGACACTGGAGCCATCTCAGCCTAATGATCTCTCAATTAGTTATTTGAACCAGTTCCAATTGTCTTGGATTCTGGATTCATGAAATTAATAAACAAGTATTACTCTTTTAAAACACCTCAATGGTTGTACCATTTGTAAAACAGTTGTCCAATTTAGAAAATGTTGAAGGGGATTTTTTTCTCTATGTGAATGCTTTGTCCAGGTTACTATTTAGGACTAAAAGGGTAATCAGCTCTCATCTAAAGCATATTCTCAGATTCTTCTCAATACAAAATGGTGACTACTGATTGATTGGACTGAAGAGCCAAAGCACCCAGACCTTATATTTTTCCTCTAAATAGAAGAGATCAAAGCCAGACCAAAAAAAAAAAAAAAAAGAATCACAAAATATAAAAATCCTTGAGAAATTTTTTTGGAATCATTAAACATTTTAAAGAGGAATGTATTTATCTATTAAGGGTTATTATCATCACTGTATCTCTTTCTTTCGCTTCGAGTTCCTATCTTTTTAGATAATGTGCTAGCAGTGAGATACGTCAGCACTAAGGCAACTTTTCCCGTTATTGTGAAGTTTGTTTTGGCAAATAAATTATGAGGAATAATTGCTGTTTGTTTACGCTCCAGGGTCCTTGCACTGGGAATCAACAGAGTTTGGCACACAGCAGGCTGTGGGATGCTGTGGTCGGCTTTCTTCATGTATTTGCCCATATGCAGATGAAGCTGTCGCAGGTAAACTACCTTCCTCTCTCCTAAATGACAAACTGGAGACTGTAGTCATCAGCAAATTAAATGTGCTTTTTGATGTTGGAACATTATCTTTTTAAAATCACTTTATCACTTGTCTTTTTAAGATCATTTTATCATGTCTCTTTTGTTCTACATGAACTTTTTTTTAAATAAAAAACATTATGTAACCTGAAAATAGATAGGATTCATTATTCAAATTTGAGACAAAGGATATTAGGAAATTGAATGTAATGGAGAAATGAAACAGTTGAGTCCCCAAACATTGTACATTTCCCAAGCTTCATCTTCCTGGCCATGGCTCACTGGAATTTTCCTTCCCCTTACAGATAATTGAAATAGGTTTTATAATCTGTTACAAGGGAGATAATTTTGTTATAGGGTCTTAAACAAGCAGATGTTCTCAGTAGGGTGATGTTTACCCATAACCAGTGTATTTAATTTTGTGACAAAGAGAAAAAGTAGCTATTATACGGATAAGCAAATGAAGAATAAACAGATTTTCCACCATGTTTTAATGTCAACTTGAGAGAACCTATTGAAAAATATCAGCTTGTTTTCTCACTGCTGGATTTGTTTCATTTGAAACAAAAAGATACACAAATAGAAAAGTTCTTGTGAATGTGGCTCTTCAATGCAGTGAATTTTGATGGTATAACCCGAGACCTTCAGAGTGTGGGCATTTGCCAGGTGGTCAGATAGAAGAAAGAATGTCAGATTAAAAGACAGAATGCTGCCATTCTAATTCCTGAGCTGTCATGACTTGTTCCACCCATGTGGGCCAGGTCGCTTCCCTGAGGCCTTGTGTCTCTGCAGTAAAGTGAAGAACCTGCCCCTCAGGCCTGCATATGACAGTATGCAGGATGTATTGTCAAAGATCAACAAGGCTGGACGCTAGTAAAAGTGGTAAGGATACATCTTAATGTCAAAGATAAACAAAGCTGGATACTAGTTAAACGAATAAGGACGGATTTTAATCAGTAGTGCTATTGCAACAAGGAAAGAGTTCAGCATAAACTGAACCCGATTTGATTTGTGCAGAGGTGACTGGGAATATTCATGGGAAAATGAAGATTAGAGAAGGGGCGAACAGGGGCTCAGTAGAGTCAGGGGAGTGAAAAGTTACAACAGGTTCATTGGTGTAAATGTGATTAGACCAGCTATATCTGCTAACTGGCAATTGTCAAAGTTAGGATTCTGTCCTTCTCCAGAGTCCTTATCCTTAGATGTTGTCTAGAACAGTCGATTTTTTATCAACCTCGCGTTTTCCCAGGCAGGTACTTTAGTGGAAGGCTGGGCTCATCCTAGAGATGCAGTCTTGAACAGTTAGAAACTATATTAGTGTTTGTTTAAGTCTTTATAGACCAAAGTTGAGGCCAAGTTGAGAAGAGGGCTCAGAGGTACCTGGCTAGAGTTTGGTGAAGGAGAGAATGTCAATATGGAGTTAGTGGTGACTTGAGCCCAATAAAGAAATTCCAGTCTTTCATTTAATCACTAGGGATATTTTGGTAAGTAAAGGAGACCAACATGAACCAAATGTAGACCCTCACCAGAGAGTTCTCATCCTGATATTTTTCCATCAGGGTATCGACATCTGGTGCTACCTAGCACCTGTTCATGGTTTATAGTTTCCGTAACAGCTATTTAGAAAGAAAATGTCTCATCCTCCCAACACGTAGGAATTTAGCTTCATATGTACCAAAATCTGAATAAAATGCCTTGTACAAATTTTTTAAAGAATAGTTTAAAAAGTACATGAGATGTAAAGTTATGCAGATGTAAGTATGATCTGTATTTCCAGGGACTGTAGCTAAGCATACTGATGTTTAGACGCAATATGTCTTCGAAAAAGAATGTTTCTTTATGGTAAAAAATCAAAAGCAAAAACAAAATTTTAACCAGAGTAATATTGGAAAGCTTAATCAAATTGGTAAATAAGATACATTGTACAATATTAGTACAATGTTGTACTAATAGGTAATACCTGTGTAGGTTTTTGGTTAATTTATCTAACAAATAAATTTATAAGTTTATCTTCTATGGTGCTTATATGCCTATATTTTTCTATGTGAAGTTGATTTTTACATAGTAGTACCTAGAAGAAGTTAGAAAGTTAGAAGAAAAAAATGCGGGCTTTTCAAATAAAAGCTAGATAGATGTCAAATGTGCAGAAGCTCTTGAGTCTTGCTTGGCATTGGAGAATATATCACTGTTATGGTTCTTTCATATTATTGCTAGATATGTTCATTGTCCGTACAAATACTTTCTTTTTTCTCAGATGCAGTCTTGCTCTGTCACCTGGGCTGGAGTGCAGTGGCGTGATCTCTGCTCACTGCAACCTCCGCCTCCCAGGCTCAAGCAATTCTCATGCCTCAGCCTCCTGAGTAGCTGAGATTACAAGTGTGCACTACCATGCTTAGCTAACTTTCTGTATTTTTAGTAGAGACGGGGTTTTGCCATGTTGCCCAGGTTGATCACAACCTCCTGAGTTCAGGTGATCGGTGCACCTCAGCCTCCCAAAGTGCTGGGATTACAGGCGTGAGCCACTGTTCCTAGCCTACAAATACTTTAAAGAACATTAGCTGAAATCAGTAATACTTTTTAATTGTGAAGTATAACTATTTTTAATATTTGACCCTCCTTTAGTTCCACAATGCTTCACGTGCTTACTATTTATTGCCAGAGCAGTATCTTTCTGTGAGAGTAATTATGATGTTCTTGCTGCACAGTTTTCTTGCATTATCTCAAATGCAATGTTAATATTTTCAGGATTCCAGTCAAATTGAGCTTTTAAAAGAATTAATGGATCTGCAGAAGGATATGGTGGTCATGTTGCTGTCCATGCTAGAAGGTAGTTTTGATTTATATACTTTTAAATTCCCTTTATTATTTTATTTAAAGGATCAGCATGGGCTTGCTTATGGAATCAGAGTGTGGCATAGAATAAAATAACACTAAGATATGGTAGATGTCTTGGATTTATTGCTGGCTTATTATTCTTTTTCTCATAATAGTTTTTTTCTTAAAGGGAGATCCTGCATATCTCAGTTTACGTATCTACAGAATGAAAATGGTACTTTATAACAACACTTTTCATTTCATAGTGATATCCTAAAAAGTAAGCTCTCCAGACAGTCTATAAAGAATATTTTATTTGTTAGTGTGTTTGTCCATAAGCGGTGGGGGTTTCGGACATCTGAAATCCACATTGGATAACCTCCAGCGGTGTAAGCTGCTTGCATAATCAGTGGGGATTTCGGACATTGGGATAATGTCCAACTGGGTAAGCTGCTGCTTTGAAAAGACCACAGAGTCACTCCTTTGGGTTCTTAAAGCCGTGGCACTGCGGGGAAAGCCTCTGTCCCCCAAGGATGCTGGCAGCCGTAGTCTTGTTCTCCCCACCAAAGCCTCAGTTTTAATTTTCTCTTTTTTTTTTTTTTTTTTTTCTGTAGCAGGCAGGAAACGTAGTGGTTAAGAGCTTGGGCTCCAAATCCACCGCCAGAGTTTAAATCCTGACTTCCTTACCTCTGGGTGGTATGACCCTTGGACCAGCTGCATCTCCCTTTTTTCAGCTTCCTCTTCTGCAAAATAGAAATGATAGATTGATGTGAGAATTCAGTGGAATCCTATAAATACAACCAAAACAACTGAAAGATGTTCGGTATTACGGTGCCTATCACTTTTTCTTACCTTCTTCCTATTTTCTCTCTGAGTCTGCCACACATGGCATAACTCCACTTTAGTTAACGGAGGCAGTTGTCATGCCTCGTGCTAGGACTTTGAAGTGGCAGCATTTGCTTAAAGCCCTTAGTTGGCAGCAACAGTAGCCACTTTATACCCTTTAAGCACAGGATCCATTTTTCCATGCATGGGCCCGATTCAAATTTTGGGTTAAATACTAACAGCAGCAATAATAACCGCAGCAGCAGCAACCACAGCAATGACTTAAAACCAACTTCATAATGTGCCAGGTACTGGATTAAGTACTTATGTAATCCTAGTGACAAGTTTATGAGTTCGATGGTATTATTATCTCAAGTTTGCAAATGAGGAAACTGAGGTACACAGAGGCTAAGAAATCTGCCCACATTGCCGAGCACATCAAACCTGGATTCAAACCCAACGATGGAGCTCCAGATCGTACACTCTTACCACCACGGTGCTTACTGCTTCCCAGATTGACTCTGTGGACCTCTGACCAGCGACCGACCTTCTCCTGCCTGTCTTTGTGTTATATCGCACATTCTGTTCAATGAATAAAAGCACTCTGTAATCCTGTAGTTCAGGAATCTGCCATTTTCTAACTATACAACACAAATCATGAAGAAATGTAGAAAGGTGCTTTCCATTATGAATCAGAAAAAGCGTACAGTTTGCTCTCAGCATGTGGTCTGAAGACCTGGCACTAACCTTTAGTAATTAAGTCACAATGGGCCCATTTTAATTTAGTCTTGTTGAACTTCAGTTTCCTCATCGGTAAAATTAGGGTTAACAAAAAGTACCTGCCTTACGTATAAACGTTAAATCAGATATTGTCTGTGATAGTGACTTTTCAACTCGAAAGGGCTGAGCAAATGTTTATTTTTATTATTAATATGAAACTTGATTTTAGTTTCTGGCTCTTTGGCTCATTTTCTTTATCTAAAACATGTTGCTTCTTTGATTAATTTAAGGGGAAAAGTGTCAACTTTTGTTGAAATATTTTATGTGTGTCAGTCTAATTACTTTGTAAATAGCGTTATGCATGTTTGTATAATCACTTTTCAAACTATAGTTTATAAATAATTATCTTTTTATAGAGTGAGCGATAAACCAGGACATACCCTTGATTCAGATGTTATTAAAGATCTATATTGTTATTTTCTCTATAATCATTGATTTTGTTACAGTTTCTTGTAAACAAATGCAATTGCTTTACCACCAGGTAATGTTGTTAACGGAACGATTGGCAAACAGATGGTGGATATGCTTGTGGAATCTTCCAACAATGTGGAGATGATTCTCAAATTTTTTGACATGTTCTTAAAACTGAAAGATTTGACGTCATCTGATACTTTTAAAGAATATGACCCCGATGGCAAGGGAGTCATTTCCAAGAGGGACTTCCACAAAGCGATGGAGAGTCATAAGCACTACACGCAGTCAGAAACGGAATTTCTTTTGTCTTGTGCGGAGACGGATGAGAATGAAACCCTTGACTATGAGGAGTTCGTCAAACGCTTCCACGAACCTGCAAAGGACATCGGCTTCAATGTTGCCGTCCTTCTGACAAACCTCTCTGAGCACATGCCCAACGATACCCGACTTCAGACTTTCCTAGAATTAGCCGAGAGTGTCCTGAATTATTTCCAGCCCTTTCTGGGCCGCATCGAAATCATGGGAAGCGCCAAACGCATCGAGAGAGTCTATTTTGAAATCAGTGAGTCTAGCCGAACCCAGTGGGAGAAGCCCCAGGTCAAGGAGTCCAAACGACAGTTCATATTTGATGTGGTCAATGAGGGAGGAGAAAAAGAGAAGATGGAACTCTTTGTGAACTTCTGCGAGGACACCATCTTCGAAATGCAGCTGGCAGCTCAGATCTCAGAGTCGGATTTGAACGAGAGGTCAGCGAATAAGGAAGACAGTGAGAAGGAGAGGCCGGAAGAGCAGGGGCCGAGAATGGCTTTCTTCTCCATTCTGACGGTCAAGTCGGCCCTGTTTGCGCTCAGGTACAATATCTTGACCCTTATGCGAATGCTCAGTCTGAAGAGCCTGAAGAAGCAGATGAAAAAAGTCAAAAAGATGACCGTGAAGGACATGGTCACGGCCTTCTTTTCATCCTACTGGAGTATTTTTATGACCCTCTTGCACTTCGTGGCCAGCGTTTTCAGAGGCTTTTTCCGCATCATTTGCAGCCTGCTGCTTGGGGGAAGCCTCGTCGAAGGTGCTAAAAAGATCAAAGTTGCAGAACTCTTAGCCAACATGCCAGACCCCACTCAGGATGAGGTTAGAGGAGATGGGGAGGAGGGAGAGAGGAAAACCCTGGAAGCCGCCCTGCCCTCTGAGGATCTGACCGACTTAAAGGAGCTGACAGAAGAGAGTGACCTTCTTTCGGACATCTTCGGCCTGGATCTGAAGAGAGAAGGAGGACAGTACAAACTAATCCCTCATAATCCAAATGCTGGGCTCAGTGACCTCATGAGCAACCCAGTCCCCATGCCTGAGGTGCAAGAAAAATTTCAGGTAATTTATCTCTAAGTCACAGCAGCATTCTCTCTGGACTTCAGGGGGGTATAATAGATGATCATTAGACCAGGTTCCATGCTACTGCCAGAACGGTGTTACCTATGTGACTTGAATTTCCAAAGAGAAATGCTTTTTGGTAGACAAAGTTAGTGTTGAGTCCTTATGAATTATTATATTATCTTAAATTATTAAGGTGTAAGCTTCAGTACCCACCCTAACTGGAGCCTACATCTTTCTCCACTTTTATATACTTTTATATGCATATTTGAAAAATTGGGAAAAGAAAGAAAACTTTTCGATGCCTGTAGTGGCATTATCCTCACAGAGCATTGAAATTTTCTCCTGTGTTCTGTGATTCTCTTTGGCCTGTTTTCATTGTATGTTCTTTGTAGTCATTAGTCCATAGAGCCATCAGTCCATCCATAAATATGGCATATTTACCAAGTGTCTGACACCACTGGGTATGTAGGGAATTCAAAGGTAAGATGGGGTCACTGCCTTCAAATTACCTTAAAAAGTTTATTCCAGAGATAAAACTAACACACATGAAGAAACTAGAAAATGATTAACTGTTAAATAGTATAGGCAGGGCAGTAGGGGTTGCTTATCTTGAGAGAATGGCAATGCCAGTATAGTTTAAAGTAGTTAGATAGGAATGAAGAGGTAGGACTTAAATTGGCCTCAAAGGATGAGTAAGGTTTTAGTAGGTGCTTAAGATAAAGAAGGGTATTTCAGAAATGAGAAAAGAGAGTAAACAGGAGTCCCAGAAAGTTTGTCCCTACTGCTGGTGCAGTAGGTCAGTGTGCAGAAGAAGTGGGAGATGTTTGGCCCCGTAAAATGAAAAACACGTGGCACTTTTATCGTGGTGGAAGCAAGAGGGTATCTTCTATAGGTTATGGTTTGACACATGGTCACATGGCTCCCTAAATTCATTCAAAGGTGATGGGTAATCCTGGGTTTTTTTTTCCCCCCATTGACTCATTCAAGGAACAGAAGGCAAAAGAAGAAGAAAAGGAAGAAAAAGAAGAAACCAAATCTGAACCTGAAAAAGCCGAGTATGTATAGTTTGCATATGCTTTTCCTTCATTTCAGTTTGTAATTACATCTCTTTTTCTTGTACTCTGTCTTTGGGAGCCGCAAGGGAGAATCTCATGTTGCCAAGGAGCCACAGAACTAATTCTGCCATCTCCGTGGAGAGGCTTTGATGGCGAGGACCTCAGGCCACAGGCAGTGATCACTGTAGATGCTCCCAGGGCTGCCATTCTAGTCTTTTCCTTTCATTCCATGTGGCCCTCCGTTTGTGTGATTCCCTGTCAGCAGGAAAGAGTCCAGTGATTCCATGGAATGCTGTTTGTAAGAGCACTCAGGGCCGCAATTCTGTCTTTCTTTAAAAATCACTCATGTATTTCTGTCCTTTTCAAGGAAGGAGGAAACAAACATTCCAAATGCACCTTCATAGAATCCTGCGGAGTGATGCTCCTTAAACCATAGACCCAGGGCCACATGCATAAAACTCACCAGGAGAGTTGGTTAAAACTAACATTCCAACATAAAGTATTAAAAAAAAAAACAAAAAACTAACATTCTTGGGCCCCAAACTATAGACCCAGGGCCACATGCATAAAAATCCCCAGGAGAGCTGGTTAAAACAAACATTCCTGGGCCCCAGGGCATAGATCCTGCCTCAGCAGGTCTGGTGTGGGGCCTGGGAACCTTCATTTTCACCAACACTCCTGGTATCGATGCAGCAATAAAAAAGAGCTGGATGTGAGGCGATGGAAATGCATAACTCCCTCATAACACCAGGTTTCTGTGAATAATAGAAGCCTGCATCTTTCTCCACGTTTATAGAATTTTATACGCACATTTGAAAAGTTGGGGGAAGAAAGGAAGCTTTTAGGTGCCTGTAGTGCCACTATTCTCCCATAGCGTTGAAATTTTCTCCTCTGTTCTGTCATTTTCTTTGGTCTGTTTTCATCGTATGTTCTTTGTAGTCAGCACTATGCATTGTCGTAGACCTTACACTATTGGGTCTGTTGTAAAAATGGTCACATAAAAAGTAGACATATAACAAATAACAGCAAGACAGGCATTTCAATGGCAATTCTTTAATATCCACCTCATATGAGTTAAGTATAGCTTATATATTAATATTTCTGGTTTATGTATTAATACATATGACTTCACTTTAATTTAATGAAGGACTGATATTTTGTACCCAAAGGATATCAAATGTCAATTCTTCTAATTCCATTATTGTCTGGAATTAATATAACATTACTATAATTCACTTAATATATTTTAATGAAATTAATTACAATATATGTCAAAGTGTGAGTATAATGATACTTTATACATGTGAACAATTAAGTGTGTAGGCCTCTGATTTTAAATCTTAATGGCAAATGTTAAAAATTGTGCATTAAAATTACAGGCTGGGTGCGGTGGCTCACGCGTGTAATCCAGGCTGGGTGTGGTGGCTCACGCATGTAATCCAGGCTGGGTGCGGTGGCTCACGCGTGTAATCCAGGCTGGGTGCGGTGGCTCACGCGTGTAATCCAGGCTGGGTGCGGTGGCTCACGCGTGTAATCCACGCTGGGTGCGGTGGCTCACGCGTGTAATCCACGCTGGGTGCGGTGGCTCACACCTGTAATCCCAGCACTTCGGGAGGCCGAGGCGGATGGATGGTGAGATCAGGAGTTCATGGTGACTAGCCTGGCGAACATGGTGAAACCCGGTCTTCTACTAAAAATATAAAAAAGTTAGCCGGGCATGGTGGCACATCCCTATAATCCCAGCTACTTGGAAGGCTGAAGCAGGAGAAGGACTTGAACCGAGGAGGTAGAGGTTGCAGTGAGCTGAGATGGTGCCCCTGCATTCCAGCCAGGGTGACAGAGCAAGACTCCTTCTCAAAAAAAAAAAATTTGAAATTATAATTTAAAAATAGGATATGTTGGACAGTCACAGCAAAGTCAGTCTTCATTTTTTTTTAATGTTTTATTGCAGAATTGGAAGGAATCTGCTATGTATAAAGTCAAGCCTATAAAATGTCCTCTACATTTCAGCTTCATAGAATCTGTGATCAAGAGGAACTCTTACCCCTGATTCTAAAATTCAGAATATTATTGTTCACCAGAAAAGAAATTAGTTTTCAGAAGTGATACAATGGTCTAAAATATTTGTTCACTTGGGTAATTTTCCACAACACCCGTTTAGTTCTTTAGTTTCTGTGGAGCTTGTATTTTGTCCATCTGTTTTCACAGGGGAGAAGATGGAGAAAAAGAAGAGAAAGCCAAGGAAGACAAGGGCAAACAAAAGTTGAGGCAGCTTCACACACACAGATACGGAGAACCGGAAGTGCCCGAGTCAGCGTTCTGGAAGAAAATCATAGCATACCAACAGAAACTTCTAGTAAGATGTTTTAGAATGAATATTGTTACTGATATAGTATAATACCATAATAATTTAGGCTCAGTAAATATTTGCTGACCTCTCCCTGAGTGACAATTAGAGAACCAGGTTAGCCCAGCACATGTTTGATTTGCCCATTGTAGTGTGTTTATCTTTTATAGTGAATGTATCTGGCCCACCGCTCCCCACTGTCAAACCCATGACCTCTACTCATGTTCACACTCCCTGAAACCCTTTCATTTGGTTCCTGCCAGGACAGTACTCCCAGTGTCTGCCCACAAAGACGCTAGAATAAAAATATTCTGAGGACCTGCAACAGATTTTACAGCAAGATGTGCCTTCTAGGGCACAAGTAATTCAAATTAATGTTCCAGAACTCGATTAGTCAGTATTTCTATAACATCACCCTTTTACTTAAAAATCCAGGTATAAAAATATTAGCTAATTGAGCCACTTTCCATTGATAATAAGAAAGTCTATTCAAAAGTATTCTTTAGAAAGAGGGATTACAGTTCTTTATGTAGTGTCCTGTACATTTTGCAGAGGTGTTCCCCTAATTAGTAAAGCACACATTCATATTTGGAAAACAACGAAAAAAGGTATAGCTCTGTCTATTCATATTGATCTTGAAATTCTTAAAAATATTATTTGAAAGGCCTTTTATAAGCATGCGTGTGTAATGTCATATATATACACATACATGGGTATCTCCTATCCTTTTCCTCCTTTGTAAAAATTATACATATGTATCGATATATGTATAATTTTTATAATTATGTGTATATATGTATAATTTTTATAAATTTTTATAATTTCCATAAAGGAGGAAAAGGATAGGAGATAAGCATGTAGAATCCACCTACAAGAGGTACTGACCAGTGATGTTAGACCTAGAAATTAAGAACAACAACCCTCATAATAAAGCCATTTGAACAGCAGAATCATATTTAGTATTTTATAGCCCTTGAGAAATCAACAATTGACAACCCAGAAACTCAATGGACTGTAGAATTTCTCTTATAAGGAAAGTGGACTGTCCTCAGTAATTATATATTCTAAATGCTTATCTTTAAATATGTTTATGTATTATGTATTTTAGGCAAATTAATTTAGTTGTAACTACATTTTCCTAAACCACCTTGTATTTTTCCCTATATTACGTAATACAGAATACATGGAACATAAATGTTTCCTAGATAACTCTGAATAATTATTAATTTGGTATGCCATAGTGGCTTCCATGGCTGCAGGTATAGTTCTATTACAAATGATTTAAAGGTTGAATGGGCTCCGCACTACCCCAGTGGGTTCCTGAAGAATGTGTTTAACTACAGTTGTGTAAACCAAGTAGTTGAGATTTTGCTTCCAGCTCTCACTGTGCCAGGGTTCACATGTTCTGTTGTCTCTGCACAGCTCCTCCCTTTTCCTGCATCTCTTTGCTATCTTTCTCGGCTCACCGATTTGCATGCACGTGACCAATCATGGCCACATCCGTCTACCAAAGGCCCCTTTTCCCCTAAGTGAGAGCTCAGGCTAGCTAACTCAGCCTCTGTGACCCAGATCCACCTTCCAAGGAGAACCAGTGAAACTGACCCAGTCTGGGTGTGGTGGACAGCCTTGTTCCAGTAATCTCTGGCAGTAAAGATGGGGTCCTGTGTGGGGAAATGACACGAACAGAGATGGGGTGTGTACACAGAGGGGGATATCATTCTGAGGTGTTACATTTGGATGTAGCTTTACTATGGTAAATCCCTTGACATATCCACTTATATTATATTGACATCTCCCACTCAATATTAAAACAAATACTTAATGTCCACCATAATCTATTACTTTAAACCCACTTCTCGGGGCTTTATTTTTTCCCAGCCCAATAAATTGTACCAGTGGTTCACTTAGTTGCTCAGGCTGCCAAATTCAGAAGTTATCATCTTTGAACCCTCTTTCTCACCTTAAATACAACCCAACAATAATTCTTCTCAGTTGTTCCAAATACATCGAGTCTGCCCAGTTCTTGCCATCTCCACAGGTACCATTAAGTCCAGCCCACCACCATGAACCTCACCTCTGCCTGACGTCTGGTATAACTTACTTTCTGACTGGTCCTCTTGCTTTCACTCTTGTTCTACTACTATCAGTTTTCCACATAGTAGCTGGAGTGGTCCTTCCAAATCATGATCCAACTGCACCAAGCCCCCCTCAAATCCTCTAATAGCTTCCCATCCCACCTAGACTAAAACAATAATTATACTAGAATATTACATTTATTATAATGATATAATAATATTAATAACAAACGTTCCCTATATTAACATTTCATCCGCAAAGCGCACTTAAGAGTTAGGTCTATTGTTATCCCACTTCGCATACAGATGAGCAGAGTGATGCTACAGAAAAGATTAAGTCATTTGTCCATATCCCACACTAGGAAATGGAGGCAGGCAGCCTTCATATCCAGGCAGTGAGGCCTCAGAGGTTGTAAACTGAACCACCACACTGTCAAAGACAAGACAACCTTTATCAGAAGCCTACAAAACCCTGCCCCCTGCTCACCTGCTTGATCATAGCCCCCTGCCACCCCCACACACCAGTCTCCCTTCTTCTCACTGTGTTTCCTTCTATTTCTCAAACACACCGACATCACTCCTAACTCAGGGCCTCTGCCCTTGTTGCTCCTGTCTTTGACACACTCTTTCACCAAATGTTTGCATAACCTGCTCCCCTCCTGTATTCAGGCCTCTCTTGTTCAAAGCTCACCTCCTGAGATAAATCTTCCCAGACCAGCACCATCTAAAATAGCACCCCTATTCCCTAAGCTCCTAACCTGATGTAGTTTTCTTCTTAGTATTTAACGGTCTCTGAAATTATGTTTTTCATTTGTGGGTATGCTTTTTTATTCTTTATCTCCTCCATGGTGGCAGAAATGCTCTCCCTCACTGTTAGGTCTGCAGCACCAAGAATAGTGCTTGAAACAGTAGCCTTGCAATCAACTGTTTGGGGTAAATGAATGAATGCTTTATTTAAATTGCAGATTTCAAGTCTCTTGATTCAGTGACCTTCTCATAATGTTTTTCACCCTCAGAACTATTTTGCTCGCAACTTTTACAACATGAGAATGTTAGCCTTATTTGTCGCATTTGCTATCAATTTCATCTTGCTCTTTTATAAGGTACGTACATCTTTGTTTTAATAACCGGTATAAAACTACAAATAGAAATGAATGTAAAGATTTCACGATGAACATATCTACTACTGCTAGTGAACACGTCTAAACCTATCATGAAATACTGATGCCTAGGCACTGATACCACTGTTATCTAGGAAGGCAAGATTTGTTCCTGAGAAGTAAGAAATGCCTCAACTGAAGGGCATTTGATTTAGCAGAGGGCTTACCCACACTATTCCCAGCCTAATTTAGCTGAATATCTTACTTGTGATTATGTCTGGGTGTGGCATACCTGTATTATATTACATTCTTTTATAATTAAGAAGAGAGCTTAGCCATCTCATTTTTTTCTTGCATGCACTGGAATCCTCAGAACTTTTGGTTGAATAAGAATGAATTTTAAAAGTATGTTCACTACTTGCCTTTGGTTTTTGAAAAGCTATCGTTTTTAGCCTTTGCTATTAGTCCTTTCATTATGCAGTAACTTCACATTCAACTATTTGCTAAAAAGGCTGTATTTCTTTTCTTTTGCTTGCAATGATATCCTAGATGCAGCAAATTGACTCTACTTTAAATGCTTTGAATCAGGTCTCCACTTCTTCTGTGGTTGAAGGAAAGGAGCTCCCCACTAGAAGTTCAAGTGAAAATGCCAAAGTGACCAGCCTGGACAGCAGCTCCCATAGAATCATCGCAGTTCACTATGTACTGGAGGAGAGCAGCGGCTACATGGAGCCCACGTTGCGTATCTTAGCTATTCTCCACACGGTCATTTCTTTCTTCTGCATCATTGGATACTACTGCTTGAAAGTAAGATAGTAAGGCACCAAGGTACCTCTGTGTGTGTGTGTGTGTGTGTGTGTGTGTGTGTGTGTGTGTGTGTGTTGCAGGCTGGACCTCTGGAGAAGCAGATTCTGAACTGGAAATGTTGTGTACAAAGTTTCTGACGGAATGCTCCATGAATCAACGTGCTTGGGGCAAATGGAGGAAGCAGGATGGGACAGAGGGGAAAGCTGGGCTACTGTAGACATAACAGGTGCAGTCTCCAAAGCTGGGATGCCCCTTCAGGGCTGTCCTGGCCTGAGGCATTGGAGCCTGGCCATTTTATGTCTACATTGACTAGTCTGCCCTGGGAAGGGGCTACGGCCATCAGCTGTCTTAAAGTAGCTTTCTTTCATGTACTGATAATTATTCACATAGAGAATTTCGCCTATAACGGCCCTACAGAAGTAAGAGCTCACCCACCCACTATGTCTCATGGTAATGCAGTGATACTCCAGTATATTAAGACTTACAGAAATACATTGTATCAATCCTAGGAGTCATTTTATTGCTTTGTTATTAGGGAAGTATCTATTGCTATTCTTGGCAGAAATGCCTCATGATTTGTCACACTTCACCCAGAAAATAATGCAGCTTTATCCCTAGAGGCCTGCCAAGGGAACAATATAATTTGGTGAATAGAACCCAAGATAATCTCTCTGAGTGCTCAAGGCTGCCCATTACCTGTGCAAACCTCTTTATCTTTTCCTAGCAAGGCGCTTTTTCCCTGTGATGCCTTTATTTCACTTGCACCACCCTCTGCCTCTGGTTGTAAATCTTGGAGAAGACATTTGAAAAAACCAGGGCTCAGCAAAAGACTAGAATGTAAAGTGTTCTTCAGGAACTCCTTTCCTCCCATTTATTCTGTTTGATGGGAGTGCATATTCTTGGCTATTTCCAGAATATCGGTGTCTGTCTGCTGTCTGTGCCTTGTGTAAAGTCTGTCCATATAAAAAGAGGATCATTATGTTCCAGAGATATTTTGACAAACTGACAAAGATTTTTGCTGATGTTGAAATTAAAATGTATCTCAAATTAGTATGTGGTGATCCTGAGCATGAAATTATTAAAGAGGTTTCTCAAATGAAACTGCACTTTAGTAGCATGCATTTGGGAACACTGCTGTGATGGCTAAATTTTATTTCATTCGTTCATGTTGAGAGATATATGTAAAAAAAATGATTTTGCATAATCATCTTTTCGTCTTTGAAGTTTAAAAGTGATTTCATTAGTGTAATTATCTATAAGCCCCTATGTGTTTAAAAACATGCATATATGTAATATCTATTCTATCTTCTGTTTTTCCAAAACCACCTAGATGCTTCTTCCTGCTTGAATATAGCCGATTCATTTTCATTCAATTTTTACCTTCCTGGAAGTACACAGGAAATATTTCTTTCCAAAAGCTGTTTTGTAAAGATAGTGACCACAAGAGATGCCAGTAAATCTAAACTAATTTTAACATATTTATTTTTCCTGTGTAGGTCCCATTGGTTATTTTTAAGCGAGAAAAGGAAGTAGCACGGAAATTGGAATTTGATGGGCTTTATATTACAGAACAGCCTTCAGAAGATGATATTAAAGGCCAGTGGGATAGACTCGTAATCAACACACAGTGAGTAAAGAATTATATGAGACATTTCTGTACTCACAAATTTCCAGACATGAAAATACTTGGTTGGAATTCCTGCAGATTTGTCAAAAGTTTAGCAGAGGTGAATAATAGTTATATATTCAGTCAAGAAAAATCTAAAGACTCAGCGCCGTCAGCCTCCTTAATGGATGTCCTCAATTTTTGCCCTCTGAGTTCTGAATTCCTTAATCAAAAATGGCTTAGAGTTCATTTCCACAGCACTGATGGAACTTCACATCCTTTACTCAGCGTTCAGGGATGTGTGTAACAGAAAGTGCATGACCTGCAGGCAGGGTTATCTCATCCAAAAGCAGAGGAAGCAAAAATTATTAAGGAAAAAGTTGTAGCATTAAAGGAAAACATATTGAATTTTACACCTTGAATATATCTGAGTTATCAACTTTCGGTACCATCAAGCGGCCTAGCATGAAACTAACTAAATGTTAGGACGTGGTGTAAAATGTAAGACAGAAAAACAAAAGCTTTTTCTATCCAATAATCGTTTAGCCCTGTGAGATCAAGATCCAAACTACCAGCTGCTGTTCTGAATATAAATCCATCACAAAAGTATAATTTTTCACTGTAAAAAGAATTAGTACTGCAATAGTTGTAATAGTTCATATTTACTATTCAAGAGTGAAATCTTTTTTAAATTGTGATTAGTTTTGCTTATTAAAAGTTATTTGCTAATGGGTTCTGAGTTGTCAAATGGAGATGATTTATTTATACATGATACATGTTTATTCTAAATGCTAAATGCTTTGTTTAGCAATTCTACCATTAATACTAAGTCTAAACAAGTCATTCCCTTTAGGTAAACTCTTTATGTATTAGTTAAGGTGCTAGAATTGTGCTTTGGTGCTAAGCTCAAAGTTTCTTTGAGGATAACTGGTAGGAAGGAGATTTTTTTTCTTCATAGGAATAACAATGACAGGTTTCTAGATACTTTAATTTTTAAAGGCAATTGATAAACAGGTCTATGTATTGATATGATGAAAACAAATAAATAGCAATACTACCTAATAAATATTCTCATATTCTTCTCCATTAAAGTATCAGCTTATACGCTTTTGTATATATTTACATGTTAATATTTAAAATAATATTCAAATACCTATGATGCAGGAAATTATGTGATGTTAACCAAATTCATTGTAAGTTTACATGGATGGCAGGATATATGTTTACATATTATTTTAAGTATGCCATATATCCCAAATGATATGTTATTATTTGTCATTAAAAATAATACTATTCACTTCTATGCTTTTCTATATTTTAGGTCATTTCCCAACAACTACTGGGACAAATTTGTTAAAAGAAAGGTAATACTACTTGGAATCCTCTATATTTTTCTTAAAGCACAGTTTGGATTTTAATTTGATGTGATTCAGCTGTAGCATAAGATATCGAGGTATAATTTATCTGCCTATTAATGTCTCTTTTTTTTTTTTTTTTTTTTTTTGAGGCGGAGTCTCGGTCTGTCGCCCAGGCTGGAGTGCAGTGGCGCGACCTTGGCTCACTGCAACCGTGTAACCTCCGCCTCCCGGGTTCAAGTGATTCTCCTGCCTCAGTCTCCCGAGTGGCTGGGATTACAGGCGCCCGCCACCACGCCTGGCTAATTTTTGTATTTTTAGTCGAGACGAGGTTTCGCCATGTTGGCCAGGCTCCGACTCCTGACCTCAGGTGATCCACCCGCCTTGATCTACCGAAGTGCTGGGATTACAGGCGTGAGCCACCACGTCCGGCCAAATACGAATTTCCAGAATAGCACATAATGGCCGGGCGTGGTGGCAGGCTGAGGATGGTGACAAGGTTGCAGGTCCTGGTGTTACTGAAGAATTGCTGGGGTCAGGATACTCAGGGGAGAGGGGTGGAAAGATGGGCCTTGTGGTCAGAGAGTTGAAGGGTTGAAATCGAGAGCATGGAAGAATGCCACCCTGTGATGTGCCCCCTGTTAGCATGCAGAGGTCTATGCAGAGGATCATTGGCTGGGGAGTCAGGCATGGCCTGGTTGCTTTCTGGACCCCATCTCTTGCTGAGTTTAGCAACCTTAGGCACATTATACGAAGTTTTCTAAGGTACAGTTTCTTTATCTGCAGAATATCAATCACATGAAACCTACATATTTTGACAGTCACATGGAATGAAGGATAATTTCTGACACAAAGTATTAATTTAGTAAAGGTCACTCTCGTTCCATTTCCCTCCATTTCTTATGCTTTTATTTCAGCTCATCTTCTTCCTTGGTATGTCTCCCTCTCTTGAATGAGAGAGAAATCTTATTCCTCAGATAGGTATTATGTAAAACGCAGTGAATTTGTTTAGACCTTAAGCATGTGATCATAGAAGATGAGCCATAAACTAGATTTTAGGTGATCGTTAGGGCAAATATACAGTAAGTATAAAAATGATTAGATGTTTTATACACACATATAGATATTATTTAATGGTTGAAGCCAACAAAATGCTTTTTCTCATACCCCAAGGTAATGGATAAGTATGGAGAGTTCTACGGCCGAGACAGAATTAGTGAATTACTTGGCATGGACAAGGCAGCTCTGGACTTCAGTGATGCCAGAGAAAAGAAGAAGCCAAAGAAAGACAGCTCCTTATCAGCTGTGTAAGTGTTACTTCGGCTCTATCCTACAGACTTAGATTGAAAAGGGAAAACATTAATACATTTCTAAACTTGTGCATTGATTTCCTTTCCTTTAATGTCAGAAGAATAGATAGATGAGGAAAACAGAATGTATATAAAGCCTACTTTTACACTTCTTGGTATTTGGAACTCTGGAATCATTGGATTTTTTTCTGTTAATTTTGGAGGTACCTTTTAATATTTACAAGAGAAAAGAAAGACTATTCATGTTTTTGACTTAATTTGCCTTCTCTGTCTTTAAATGATCCTTAAATCTAAGTAAAACACACACAAAAACTCAATATATGGCTGATTTCTGGTAATTCCTGTTTGAAAAAATATTAGTTCCCTTTTCCAAAACATAAGAAAATTATGTAGCCCTTTTATTTACAATGTTCAGAGGAACTCATATTACTTTATTATAATTATCGTATTTTTTTGAATAGCAAAGGCTTAGTATGTCAGAAATAATATCCCGTCCTACTATTACTTGTAAAGTTTACTTCAAAATGAAATACTCTTTATGTACTGCTTTCATGGAATAATGTTTTTAAACCAGTTGAGTTGAATGTACCTGAGTTTAAATGTCTCACACACACACACACACACACACACACACACATATATAGAGTGTGAGTGTAGAGATATATACATACATCCATCTAGCAAATTTGATCAACTGAATCTCTGGAATAAAAGTAAAACATGCTTTTAAAAATGTAATTGCTTGTTGTAGTCACTTAATGATTCTGGAAGAAACAATACTTTCTCTTAACATGATTAGGGATGTGATGGTTACTTTGAAAACATATTTATGGTTCTGTGAAGCAGTATTATTTTCTTAGATAATCTGTTACCTAGCATTAAAAAGATAGTTTGGTTGGCCTATCTCATTGGTCATATTGTTTTTATCTATCTGAAAACTTATTAGAGCTACTTGGGTCTTTAAAGTTAAGGTGAACTTGTTTTTGAACTTATTGTTGAAAAGAACTTAGATCAGTAAATGTGAATTAAGGTCCAAAATATTGAGTACTCTAGGAAAACAAATGTATATTTAAAGGTTATGCCACTGCATGTAAAATCGAACACAGATGAGCAATCCTTAGAACCTGTGTCCCTTATGTTAGAAAAGTATAAAAAATATATATCATATGAAACAAGAACTAGGGTGTGAGTGAGGCTGAGCATCCCACAGACATTTTCAGATCCTTAATAAGCAATACCGAATTAAGTAGTTTTACTGAGTTATGCATTTTCTATGGTCACCTTTGTTACTCTAGAAAAAAAGTCTGAAAAAATAGAAGGGAAGTTTAGGCTGCTTTTCTGCTATGAAGAAATAGTTTTAAATTGGCATAGTTTTCTACCACTATACATAGTAAATGTGTGTAAGTTTGACTCCTAGCAAAGTACCAAGAAGCTCATATAGCATTTAGCACCTTTACATATGGAGAATAAAATTAGAAGAATAAAGTTCTGGTAAATAATGTACAACTAGGAAAAAGATTTACATATAATGTCTCTTTAAAGCATTTAGGAAGATCAGGTTTTAAAAGATTATCCGATTTATATATGAACCCTATCTTAATGTGAACATTGAAATACAAAGATGATTTATGTATTTATTTATCAAACACATAAGGCTTGGTATGTGCACCTTTAAATAAGTGGCCAGCTCCATTTCTGGGGGTGGAATAGCTGCAAGCAGTCAGAAAGTCTGCATTTGTGTCCTCACTGGAGAGGAAAGGAGATCGTGTCTCAAAACATCTAACAAAACTAAGCTTGCTGGTTATAGTTTACCCTTGACTGGAGCTTTGGCATCCTCCCGCCCCCACGACCAGGAAGACCGTGTTCTGATTGGCTTAGCTCAGCCATGGCCCTGCCCCAGGGGTGGGGTCAGCCTCACCCAAACAGCATGGCTACCACTTACGGGTGAGAAATGAGTGGGGTGTGCTGCTGTGTGATATTGATGGTATACTGTCGCACTAAAGTATGCTAGAGATGGAAAATAACTCTGAAGAATAATTTTTAAAATAAAATAAGAAACCACCATAGGCAATTCATACATCCTGATATAAACCGTTATTTTGTTTTAGATTGCTTTAATGTAAAATAATTATGCTCTCATGCAAATTACTCCATTTTTTTCTCCCAACTCTTCCTTTTTTAATTTAAGAAAAAACATTCTTATATTGAAACCTGTTGTAAATATTTATGGAACTTTTTTTAAAGGCTCCTGTGATAAAATTAATTCTAGTTCATAGATAACTTTATTTCTTTAAGGATAAAATTTTTTTTTTAAATCCTGTACTAAGTTAACTGAGCCTTAATCCTTAGTGAAAAAAATCTCCTAAAAAGTCACCTTTGATATGCACCTACTTATCTTAGCATTTATAATTTAAGTTTAGCCTAATTAAAAGAAATGATTAAAGAGGCAATAAAGGCTAAAACATTAAGTCTAGAGAAACCCTTTAGAAAATAATATTTCCATTATGTTAAAATGCATTATTTCATATCGATTACTTAGAGCTGGAATATTGGAAAGGTTGGCAAAGTTATAATTTCTAGCCAATAAATCAGTGGCAAGTTCTGAAAAATGAAAATTAACACGTATATTTTAATATACGTGTTTGTAATCTACAAAGATCACAAATATTTACTTTAGGATTTATTCATTCAACATATATGCATTTAGACATTCAGTGTGTGAGCTATTGTGCGTGGAGCTGGGGAGTTCACAGACTAGTGAGAGAGGCGTATATCCACATACATGCATACACCAGCACCCACAACTGTAAGACAATGTAGGAAATAATAATAAAAGGAATTGTCTACAAAATGCTATGAGAACCGAGGGGAAGAGCTAAATTGCTGCCTGGATGGAAAAGGAAACAGAGAAAGTGAATTTTCTGGAAATGAAGAAAAACCCATTTAAAAGCCTTCCATTTATAAAATAAGATAGTTGTAAAATAAATGTTGTATATTTATGCTAGCTTTATTATTTGAATCAAAGTTACTCTGTTGGCATGCCATTGCAGTGCATATAAAAGTTAGTGAGGAAATGTTTGATTGTGTACATATGTTGGCCAATTTAGTACAGTTTCAAGGAATGTTATATGTAGCTGGGCACAATGGTGCATGCCTGTAATCCAGCACTTCCGGGAGGCCAAGCGGACAGATCACACTGAGATCAGAGTTCAAGACCAGCCTGGACAACATGATGAAACCCCCAACTCTACCAAAAAAAAAAAAAAAAATTAGCCAGAGTAGTTAGGACATGCCTGTAATCCCAGCTACTCGGAGAGGCTGAGGCCACGAGAATCGCTTGAGCCCGGAGAGCCAAGAGATGCACAGTGAGCCAAGATTGCACCATTGCATTCCTAGTCTGGGTGACTGGAGTGCAACCTTTCTGTCGTCAAAAAAAAAAAAAAAAAAAAGAAAAGAAGAAGAAAAAAAAGTAATAGTGAATGTAGGAAAGGAAAAGGTTGAAAAAGAAGGGACTATTTTTAAATAACATAAGACTAACGGTGATGGTGTTTTGGTTTCCAAGGATCCTTCTAAAAACACATCATGAAACTCTAGAATACAGTGTCAGAGGTTGGCTCTCAGCTCCTCCTTGGCATCTGGGATAGAACTAGTTTCCTTAGAAGGTTTCCAAGTCTTGTGCCATTGAATGTGAAGGCCGTCAGCTCTTGCAAGCCTATGAGTCTTTGATTAATGTGCATAACTACACTTTTTTTTTTTTTTTTTTTTTTTTTGTCATTGCAGACTGAACTCTATTGAATGTGAAGTATCAGATGGTGGAAACTAGGATCGTTTTCACTGACAACGTAAGCCTACTTCATTATCACAAAAGAAAATGCACGTCTGATTAGATAAGTCTGGTGGGAGTTCTGTAGATGGAAGGATGGTTATTTAGAAAATGTGTCAATACCCAATTCATTGCATACAGACCAGATCTGGAGAGAGAGCCACAGAATGATATGATTAACAAGCCCATCTCTCATTCCATTTCTTTCAATAGCTGAAACATTAAAATGAAAATATATTTACACAAAAGAAAAACTGAGATGCAGATTTGTGAGTATGTTCATTAAGGTTTTAATTGGGCAATGGCATACTTCAGTTTTATAGATGTTAAAAAGAAACTCCTAAATAATTTTCAAAGAACATTAATTGTGCTAAATTTAGGTTTTCCCCAAATTAAGTATATTAAATTATGGAGTTTTTTTTTATTCTCCTTTTACCAAATATTCTTTGGAGACTAAATATAGGGCCCTAATATATATCCAAATAAAATAGAAAAAAAAATTACCTATTACTAAAAACCGCCAGGTGTCTCAAGATTTCACTCTTTAATTTTAGCACTGACTTTTATCGTTAACATTAGTTCCATTCTCCTATTTAGAAGCCTTTGACAGCCCCCAAATTCTCCTGCCTCTATCCTTACCCCTTCCCTCATCCAGCCATGGGCCCAGAGCTCTGGGTATCTTAGGAGCATTCTCTAAGAGTTCAAAATTATCTTTTAGAACTATAAACTATTAATACACTATCTTACAAATAATTTCTCATCCAAATGGAAGCAACTCCCCTGAATAACAAAAGGGCATCCTCGACTTTGGCTCTAATGGGCATTTTCCATTCAAGTGGCCGGTCCATCTTAAGTTCTGCCCGCTAAGCTCAATCTTCCATGCCACAATATTTGCAGAGCCCACTTTTGCCCAGATGCAGCTTCTGCCTAGATGCAGCTTATCCATAATATTCATCTTGCTATGTAACTTTTTTGTCCTCTAGATAACTTGGCATAGAGAGATCCAGGACGGAGTCTTTCCTCAGACAGTTTTCTGCTACCTTAGTAGGCTTTTATCCACCTGCAGTTTCATGGCTTCTGTTTGGCCAGTCACCTCCCAAATTACTTTATGCGACACACCTAAACTAAAAATCATTTATTCTTTCTCTCTCAAATTTAACTGTGCAGCAAGCACATATGTAGACCACACATGCACCTTTGGCCCAGCTTGTCATTTAGTTCCTTACTCATCTTATGCCCATAAATTTTCCTTTTCCTCAGTCTTTGCATTTCTTAATGGCTCATTAGATTAGCTCCATCTGAATGTCCCATGGCAGATTTTCATCTTCCTTCTCCTCTGCTCCTCCCCTCCACATCCAGTCTTCAGTCTACAATTTTCTCTTAGTATTTTTCTTCTTCTTACTACCTAAGCTTAAATTATTCATATGGACGCCTCTTCTTTCTCCCTCCAATGCATGCATTTGATTATTTGCTGAATCTTGGTCCTGTTTGTGTCCTCTGTAATTCTCCCTTCTTATCCTTATTTTTGCTGCTTTTTTGGGCTCTGGTAACCTCATCCTGGGGCTTGTCCAGTAGTCTTCTAATTTAATGGCTGTGCCACTTACAATGTTTTTAGACAATAGCTTAACTGGAGCTAAGCTGCACCTATCTCTATTACACCTCATCATAAAAACAGCTAACATTCACACATACAGAGATCTTGCTAAAAGAGTAAAAAAGAGACCATGTGTCCCAATTATATTGAACATTGACCCAGCACTTAGTAGGTGCTCAAGAAATTTTCCTACAATGCCATTTTTCATAAACCATTATCCTCCTCATGATACTGCAGTGGCACTCAAGCTCCTGTGGGGTACACAAATGTCCTCTAACATGCCCTCAAGTCTCTCCAACACTGTCACACTTTTCTAGCTTGATCTTGCAAAACAGGAACCCACCACTCAAACCAAATTTTCCTTCCCAAGCAAACTCCGCTTGGTCTTATCTCAGTGTGCTTTTTAAAAATGCTATTTTCTTTTCTGCCACTTGACCTCTAGCTTCAGTTCCACATGGTCCTTGAAATCCCCTTCCTAGCTCAGCCCCCTCTTTTTGTTCTCTGTGAAAGATTAAGATATCTTACAGTCAAAATGAAGGTGTCCGCCCCTTCCCCAAATGGGTAGCTTCTGACTCCACCAGCAAAACATCCCTTATGCAACAGAGACTGTAGTCCCATAAGTAAGAACAGCCACCATGTTTTTATTCAGCATTAGTCCCGGCCCTCCCCAAAAAGTATATTCATTTTCCAGCCTATGTGAATAATCCACATTAATTATAACCCAGGAGACTTCTACAACAGAACCAATTGTATTATTAGGTGTACTGTAGCTTTCAGTGACATCACATGGTATTTGGGTTTCTCCTAGACTTACTGCGGCTCATGTAAAGTGAGATGCTTGGTTAATAAAACATGTAATTTCGTAACTAGTAGGTCTCAGCAAACACTGATTTAGTGAGCGAATAAATGAAAAGCAAAGAAGGGAAGAAAAGGAGGGAGAGACAGTGACTGGTTCTTTGGCTGGCTGTAGAGCAAGGGTTCTTCTGTGCTGGGGAGCAGCTTTGTCTCCCAGTGATGTTTGGCAATGTCTGGAGACATTTTTGGTTGTCATGACTCGGGGGAGAGGTGGGGTCGGTGCGATTGGCATCTAGTTGATGCTGCTTGCCATCCTACCATGCACAGAACAGCACCCATAATAAAGGATTATCTGATCCAAAATATCAATAGCGCCGGGTTGAGAAAGCCTGCTGCTGACTAGGAAGTCAATAAATGTTTCTCTGTTGGAGGATAAATAAGAACAATGACAATTCTTAAAACACTTTAAAACTGTTTTAAAGAGAATGACACTGACCTTTTCAGAACAAATTAAGTAAAAATAAAATACACAAAGAACAAGCTGATACAGCTAACTAGAATTATAAAAATGTATAGGGGGCCAGGCGCGGTGACTCACGCCTGTAATCCCAGGACTTTGGGAGGGGCAGGGTGGGCGGATCCTGAGGTCAGGAGATCGAAACCATCCTGGCTAACACAGTGAAACCCCATCTCTACTAAAAATACAAAAATTAGCCGGGCGAGGTGGCGGCGCCTGTAGTCCCAGCTACTCAGGAGGCTGAGGCAGGAGAATGGCAGGAACCCAGGAGACAGAGCTTCCAATGAGCCGAGATCGGGCCACTGCACTCCAGCCTGGGTGGCAGAGCGAGAGACTGTCTCAAAAAAAAAAAAAAAAAAAAGTATAATGTACAAAGATGAAGTAAATAGAGTAATTATAAGAGTGAAATTGGAGTTGCTTTTTAATTTTTTTAATTGACAAATAATTGTACATATTCATGAGGTACCTAGTGATATGTTGATAAATATAATGTAATCAGATCAGGGCAATTAGTATATGCATTTTCTTTAACATTTATCACTTCTTTGTGTTGGGAACATTTAATATCCTCCTTCTAGCTGTTTGAAACTATATATTATTGTGACCTGCCGTCATCCTACAGTGGTATGGAACCCTAGAAATTATTTTTTCTATCTAGCTATAACTTTGTATCTTTTAACAAATCTCTCCCTATTCCTACACTTCCTTTTTCTCCCCGATCTCTAGTGTCCTCTCTCCTACTTTTTACTTCCATGAGATTAACTTTTTAAGATTCCACATGTGAGTGAGAACATGTAGAGTTTAACTTTCTGTTCCCAGCTTGTTTTGCTTAACCCATAACAATGGTGATGCATTCTATTTTCTGACATGTTTCCCCCCCATTTTGTCTTGATAGTCCTTCCTCTACCTAGCCTGGTATATGACTATGTCTGTTCTTGGACACTATAACAACTTTTTTTTTGCTGCTCACCTTCTCGACATTGCTATGGGATTCAAGACATTAAGAACCATCTTGTCCTCAGTAACTCACAATGGCAAACAGGTAAGCAGTTTATCTTTTTTTCCCCATTGCAGAAAATAAAAAAGCAACAAATAAAGAAAAATAAAACTACCCCTCAAATGGCAATGTACAGTTTTAAAGATTTTTTGGAAGGAAGGGTCTGTACCTCTTCTAAACTGCAGGGATTAGCAGTTTGAGACTCTTCTAGGCCTATACTCAAGCCTTGACTTGACCTTGGATAAATTAATTGAAAATAATAAAAGTACATACCTTACCAGATTTTTGTGAAAATGAAATAAAAACAAATGGATATGCTTTAACACAGCCCCTGGCACATATTAAGCACTCAGGAACTTAGTTACTATTTTGTTTCTGGTATAGTGTTTGCTCCACTTGCTGTTATGTGGAACCAAAATAGGTTACAGAATCCTGATGCACTTATTGTGTTAGCTGTAAAATATGAGATGCTGCATTTTAATGTAATATTTTTAAACTGTTTATCTTATACGCTTTACTTTTAAATTGAGCAAAAAGGATAATGTTTCATATTTGACAAGGTCATGCTGACTCAGAAGAAAACTGGTCTAGGTCCAGAAAATGCACTTATGTTCTAATGGAACCTACTTGTAATGTTAAAACTTTCCATTATCATGAAGCATATGGCAGAAGTATGCATGTTCTAATGGAACCCGTTTGTAATGTTAAAACTTTCCATTATCTTGAAGCATATTGCAGAAGTATGCATTTATTAATTCATTTGCTATTTTTCAAGTGTCCACTGGGTGGTAACATATGCTGTGTTAGTTATTTGGATTAACAGAATCCTTCTTTTCCAGAGTCTTGTAGCCCAGCACATTTTAAAATAATTGCCTCTCTAAAAGCTTTGAACTGGGTCCACAGTTAAGTCCCCATTATCATTAGTTTTCTAAATTTCAGCACATTATTCTTACATATGTCACTTTAGGTTCTCCTTATGGCTATGATGTGCACAGCAAGTCATGGGTCTAGTGACAAAAAGTCTATTTATCTGCCAGTCAGTTCTTAAGTTGTGTTTGAGCTCCCGGTTTGTGTAGTAAAGAACTGGAGATGCCAAATCTATGTGTGTTTCTACATAAAAGATCTGGCACTACTTTCAGTTTCTGAACTTTGTGGGGTTTCTTTCTTTTCGAGGTATCAAATTTTCTTTTTTTGTTTGTTTTTAAGACAAAGTCTTGCTCTGTCACCCAGGCTGGAGTGCAGTGGTATGATCTCGGCTCACTGCAACCTCCGCCTCCTAGGTTCAAGTGATTCTCTTGCCTCAGCCGCCCACATAACTGGGATTATAGGCACGTGCCACCATGCCTGGCTAATTTTTCTATTTTTAGTAGAGATGGGGTTTCACCATGTTGGCCAGGCTGGTCTGGAACCTCAGGTGATCTGCCCGCCTCGCCCTCCCAAAGTGCTGGGATTACGGGCATGAGCCACCCCACCTGGCCTCAAATGTTCATTTGCAGAAATATGTAGAGTTTAATAGTCCTAACAGGTAAAACATGCAGAAATTCACAGTGGCCTTGTACTTCATTTATAGAAATGAATGAAACCCTCTGTTAAGCTAACATGTTTTCTCCAGATAATTGTAAAGTGATTTTGTAAAGACTTAATGAGCATAGGCAGTCACAGTTGAGACCATAAAGTTCTGCTGTAATCAGAGACAGTACACATAAAGATAAGGCATGGTAGCGTGGTAGAATTTCTGTGATGAAACTAGAAATAGATTTTCACCAACTTGGTGAAAAGCCACATTTTTAGCATATGCATATTCTATCAAAAATACTCTACAATTCTATCATATACTTATAACTATCTAAAAATTAAAGTATAATTTGGAATTAAAAACAGATTACATAGAGCTGAAAGACCTTTCAAACAGAGACATTGAATTACAGATTGAGAAAAATAGCCTTCAAAATAGTGTTGGTCATTAGCTGTGGTGTTTTTCACTGTGGTCATTGTTTACAAAGCAAGATTTCTCAGTTTTAAAAAATATTGATATTATACATTATTCCTAATTGTGTGTCCCCAGATTTCAGGGGCAATACCAACTTCTATTTAGGATATGATTGAAAATTAAAAAATAATTTACAGTCATAAAAATAAAATGCGTTTTATTAAGTGTAAATTATGGAAAATAGCCCTCATAAAACGAAGAAAGGCACAGTGGCTCACGCCTGTAATCCCCGCACTTTGGGAGGCCGAGGCGGGCAGATCGCCTGAGGTCGGGAGTTCGAGACCAGCCTGACAAACATGGAGAAACCCCATCTCTACTAAAAATACAAAATTAGCCAGGCATGGTGGTGCACACGTGTAATCCCAGCCACTCGGGAGGCAGAGTTTGCAGTGAGCCAAGATCGCGCCACTGCACTCCAGCCTGGTGACAGAGCAAGACTCCATCTCGAAAAAAAATAAAATAAAATAAAATATAAAATAAATAAAATATAGTCTGACAACTTGATAAAGAGAATATGAAAATAAATGTCTGCACAAGGGGGTAAGAAAGGTGAGAAATAAGTTATGGATCCCATTAGCTTCTAGTAAACACAGCTGTGTTCTCACTAGAGCATTCCCCACCCACGTAGATGCCACATGTGTCAATTGCATGTCCTACATTTCTAATACCTGTCCCTTGTCACATTGCTTTCCAGCTCGTATTAACTGTTGGCTTGTTAGCTGTTGTTGTGTACCTGTACACTGTGGTGGCATTCAATTTTTTCCGAAAATTCTACAATAAAAGTGAAGACGGTGATACACCAGATATGAAATGTGATGATATGCTAACGGTAAGTTCATAACCTTTGATCTCATATGAACAAAACCGTCTCCTGCTTCTGCAATCTAGGTAATTGTGTATTTATTCTCCAACAGTGCAAAATAGAAAATAGTCTAAACAATAAAAAGTTGCACGGCTCTTTAAAGAGTCAGCAGTTTTCAATTTTAGCAGAACATAAAGGAGCATTTCTGTCCATTTTCCATGTGTGCTGCACAGCCTAATTATTAGAATTGCTGAGTAATGTACTTAGAACTCAAAGGAGTAATGTCATCGCTTAAGCCTGTTGTTCACATATCCCAGGACAGCAGGTAAAATTATTTCCCAGAGAACATTTGGAAGCCTTAGTTTTTTGTCACCTTAATGACTTTAACTGAAATTACTAAATTTCAAAAGTGTATCTCTTTATAGAACTACTGATTTTTGCTTTTATATTGAGTATCTTGGCTTAAATGTCTTTTTTGGTTTTGGTTTTCAAAAATCAACAGCTGTTAAAGCTTTCATATTGCTTTATATCACCGTTCTACAACCTGTCTCTCTAATATTGGCAAATGAGAAGTTATCATACATGAGATCTTAGATCAGGAAGGGGAACATGAGACAAAATATATATCACTAGCTGGAAAGAGACGTATCCTTCAGTAAGCGCCTCACAAAAATACCTACATCGTTTGTGTTGGGGATTTAGGTATAGAGGCTGATATAATGATACATAAATTACTCTAGAAAAAATAGCCCAAAAGATTGATGAGAGAGAATGACCATTATTACAAAGACTAACAATTAAGATAATTTTATACTAAAGAATGACAAATCAGCGGGACAGAGTGGTTCAGAAACAGATGCAAATACTCATGGAAATTAAAAGATGATAAAGATAGCTTTTGAAGTAAGGAAATGAAAGATAATTTAATAAATGACATTAGTACCATGGACAAGCTGTTTGGGGGAAAATGATAAAAATGGATACCAATGTTGCTTTATAAATAAAAATAAATTCTCAATTGAGCATATTTTAATGCAATAAGAAGGAATAATCACAAGACAGAATTTGATGCCTTTAATAGTAATACTCATTTTTATATGGAGAAGGGTCTGAGTATGACATAAAACTCAGGGTCTATGAAAGCATAAACATTATTTGAAAAAAGAGCAACAATAAGTACAGTCGTAAAGGCAAATGGTAAAATGGGAAAAATATTTTTAACACCATAACAAAGGACCAGTTTCCTTAATCTACCAAGTCCTTATCACATCAATAAGAAGAAATAAACCAATAGAAAAACAAGTAAATCACATGACCAGACAATTCACAGTGAAATTAATGCAGTAGGCTTGCAGATTTGAAAAGATGCTCAGCCTCTGTCAAAGTGAAAGAAATGCAAATTAAAACAATGAAAAAAACACTTTTTACCTGTCAGGTTTGCAAAGTATTCACGTTTGTTAAAACTCATAGTTGGTGAATTGATGGGAAAAAATCGGCATTTTCATGACTCTGGTTGGGAATTTGAATTGACAACAATTTTAGAGAAGTTTTGCGATACTTATCAAATTTTTAACTATATATATATCTTTTGACCTATTAATTCCGCTGCTAGTAATTTCCCTAAAGGTTTACTCACAAATAAGCCTCTGTATGTTCAAGGACATCAGCTGCCCTCACAAGCTAGGAATAATCTAAATGATCATTAGTAGTGTCCTGATTAAGTCAATTATGATAAATCCATAACAGATATGCATCTGTTTGAAAATGAGAGAAATTCATATATACGGATATGGAGAGACATACAAATTACATTTTAATTAAATTACATTTAATTTAAAAAAACAAGATCTTGATCAGTATGATAGGATCCTAATTGTGTGAAATGATATATACACAACAATTCATATTTTTGATATGCTAGAATATGCATAACATTTTTCTGGAGGGATTTATTCATAGGACACTGTGAACAAGGATTCCTACCGGGGTAGGACCATAGATCACAGGAGAAAGAAACTTGTTTGCTTTTCATTTTATCGACTTTACTCCTGTCTGAATGACTGATACTATTTCTTTTTACCGGAGGTATTTTTTTATTTTTAAAAGTCTAAGACAGTTTTTTCCCCACCATGTTATAAAAGATAATCTGCCTTCAGTTATTCCCAAAATTAGTTTAACTACATGCAGAGACTGTTTCCTGGCAGGAAGGAGAGAACAGAACATACAGGTGGCTGACCTGAAGGAATTAAAGGACAGAGGCTGAGGGAAGCTCTGCTGAAACCTGATGCTACATTTTCATCCACCGCCTGTTCTTGAGCCATTTATTTAGAGCCCGAATCTCTTATTTGTGTAAAGAAGTTTTTCTGTTTTTAAAATGTTATCATAAAGGATCATTAATATAGAACTGCCCATCCTTCCTCTCCTTTAAACAAATATTATTTTATTTACTAATTTAGAGATCCTCAGACAAGATTGTCATTCTTTAGCTTTTCAATATTAGACATTTTGTTCTCTTCCCAACTTTCTTTTTAATAAAAAAAAATTTGAGAATAAATAACAACTCTCAAATGAATTGCAGGTTATTTAAAAATTGGGGATATATAATAGCTTGCTGACATAAAAATATTCCCTTTTCTTAGGCCAAGATTAAATTTTTGAAGGCTTAGAACTTCAAAAAGGGATGCTTTTGATGGAAAATGCAGGGGGAAAAAAGCTTTCAACTCATCAGTCCGTACATAGTTGGCAGCAGAGCAAATCGTATTGTTCATGCAAAAATCATCTGTGATTTTCAGTATTTCCTGTCATTATTGCCATTCTGAGGTGTTACGCATATGACTTTGTGATTTCCAGGTGCTAGTGACCTACTTGGAGGACACGGAGTGTCAGAGCTGAAAGGACTCTGATGTTCATGGTTGTTCATCCATACACTTAATTCCTCAACTGGAAGAAAATGCCATCCCAGTCACAAATCCGCAGTCCTGTAGATTTTTTTTATTTATCAAGTGCTCATATAGCACTTGGCTATAAATGATGTTGTGCCAGGTATTATCTCAAGAACTTTACAAATATTAACTCAGTAGTCTCCTAATAACTTTTTGCTGTAGGTTGGCCCTGCTATCATTCCCATTTTACAGATGAGGAAACTGAGCTACCAAGAGTTTGAGTAACTTGTCATAAGTCACACAGTTAGGAAGAGGTGACACTCTTCAACCAGTACTCTAAGTTACACTACCTCACAGTTAGTAACTTCATTAATGCTTCTGTTACTAATTTGAGTGATTGTTTTATACCAGGCACTTGTTAAGGATAAGGTTTGAGTAAGTACAGTCCCTGGCCTCATGGAACTTGCATGGTAAGCACCTTTATAGCAATTCTGCTAAGCTCATTCTTTTCCCTAGAATCTTCCAAGAAAAGAATGCCCCAGCAATTCCAGAAGTTTTGGAAAACCTTGTGGATCAGTATTCCTGTTACATACAGAACATTTAATATACTATACAAAAATATTGGATCCAACATCACTGCTCAAATATTGCAACTGAGAAGTTACTTTAGATGGCTACTAGACAGGGAAATAAAAATAACTTTTTAATGTCACATCATACTAGAGTGGAAGATATTGATATGGACACAATTTATGTGCCTTAATACTTGAGATCCATTTTAGTCATCATAAGTTGGCATGACTGAGATGCAGTACTTACCTTTGATAGTCTTCTTCTCTGATTAATTGCTGGACGAATAATTCATGCACCTTGCCTGGCGCCTCTTCCCTGACTGCCTTTCTATCACCCACTGATGTGGCCCACCTGTCTGCTTCTTAAAAGTATCTCCTATCCTTCCTGTTGCTGCTTTTCTCACACCGCAAAGCAGAGAAAAATTTATAAGTTTTTTTAAAAAAAAACTTAACAGCAACTGTAAGAAAACTGGATTCACTGCAACAAGACTGACCCGTTCCTAGTGATGACTCATCATCAGAGTGACTAACATACAACACTTTGCCCCTCCTCCCACACCTATTCATTCATTCCAGGCCTAGGGCTGAAGATGTGTCAAGGATCCTTCATCTCCTCTCCCATGTGCTGCCTTTATTATCAGCCATGCTCAGAGCCTCTCTACCCTGTGACCCTGAAGGCAGGAGGGGAGTGGGAGGCCAGGAAAGGCTACATGGCACAATGCAGAAGGTAGCAGCAGCAGGTACATTGCCTGCAGCGACTTCCAAGAAATTCAGTACTATTCTAGGACAAACACCTGACCAAATTTATAAATCTCAATATCTACCAGCCTCAGGGCAGAAAGTTTACTTAGGTCATGTATTCCTAAAGAGTATGATGCTCAGAGAATTGCTAAAAATTAATAGAAAAATAGGAATGATTTCAGATTGTGACATTCAGTGACCTGTGTCAGGCAGTGAGAACAATATGTGACTTTAGATCTCCCTTTTATACCACAGGGAGACCCCGGCAACATCCTGGTCTCTCCTTTTATTGTGCAGTCATCATAGTTGACCCCATTCAAGTTGTCATCATAGGATCCTTAGACGACTACATTTTGAACCTCACTCTCAGTATGCATTTCCATTACTTTTGTTAATTTTGCTTAGGAAGACAACTGCCTTCACCTGGTTGATTTTGCCCAATTTCATGGGGCATGAATACAGAAGACAGAGAAACTTGGTTCCAGTGAGGAAATATGACCTGTTGATGTTTTGAACTATGGACTTAACTAGAGCCTAGATTTTCTTCAGTTTCAGGGATTTCTGTCCTCATGAGTAAGACTATTTATGACCAGCTCTGTTGTAGGTTTTTATATTTCTACACATAACAATAAACTTACTATCTTGTCTTTGACTGGGGTGAGTATATGTCTTAGATGTTTCCTCCCTGCAAGAGAAAACTCAGTTCCAAGACACAAGTCACTTTTTCATCCCTAGCTCATTCACAATGACATGCTGCTGCCAACCAGTCACACCAGACAGGAGTCTCTGTAGCATTACACAAGCTCATATCCCAGTGATTGTCCCTAAAATC